GTGGTCACAGCAGAGTGGGAGCATTACTGACATCTACTGGGTTATTAGTTTCCCATGGCCACTGTTAAAAAATGACCACAAGGGCGCCTGGGTGGCTCAGTCGTTAAGCGTCTGCCTTCGGCTCGGGTCATGATCCCAGGGTCCTGGGATCGAGCCCCGCATTGGGCTCCCTGCTCCGCGGGAAGCCTGCTTCTCCCTCTCCCACTCCCCCTGCTTGTGTTCCTGCTCTCGCTGTGTCTCTCTCTGTCAAATAAATAAATCTTTAAAAAAAAAAAAATGACCACAAACTTTTCAGCTTCAAAACAACACAGATGTATTATCTTACAGTTAGGAAATTTGGAAGTTCGAAACAGGTCTGCCTGGGATAAAATCAAGGTGCAGGTGGGGTGCACGCCTTCAGGCGAGAATCCATTTCCTCTCCAGCCTTAGAAGCCCCCTCCTCCATCTGCAAGGTGCACCCTGCCAGCCTCGTCCTTGTCACCCCTCCTCCTCCAACGCTGCCCCCCTCCACCAACGACGTGGTGGCGCTGGGCCCACCTGCATAATTCAGGACCATCTGCTTCCATTAAGGTCCGCTGATGAGCGTCCCTAATTTCATCTGCTTCAGTGTCTCCCCACCCCCCGCTTACCACGTCAAGTAGGTGTGCCCAGGTTCCAGGATATCTGGGGCACATCTTGGGCAGGGGCTGTTAACTCTGCCTGTACAGGTGAGTGACGGCCAGGGATGCTGCTGACCGCCCTCCACTGCACAGGACCGCCCCCACATGTTGGTGCGGCTGAGGGTAGGGACCCTGATGAGGTCATAACTTATGCTGGGGGCTTCTGGCTGGGGTGCGGGTGAGGGGGGCTGGGGGGCTGCAAAGGGCGCTCCCCGGGAGCTGAACTCTTTGCTCTCTTGTTCTGGGCGGTGGGCATGCAGATGTATGCATAAAACACGAGATGTGCACACTACTCAGGGTACGTTAGTTACGGCTTCTTAAAAAGACCACAGATTTTTAGAATAGTTAAGTTTATGGTTTTTAAGTAGGGAGTAAATACTAGAAGAAACAGTTGAAGGATCTGGAAGCTGTTGCCTCTGGAGAGCACGACTGGGATGTGAAAGGGTGGGTCAGGGAGTTTGAATTTCTTCCTTATGCTAGCATTATATTAATCATGTAAATTACCTCGATAGAAATAAATAATTTTAAAAAAAGAAGACAAAACAGATTTGCTCAGTCACTGCGTCCTTAGGATGGAGTCCTTGTTGGGGCCAGGCTCTGAATGGTCCTGGCCCACGGGCAGCCTGGTGCCGTTGGAGAAAGGTGGTGTGCAGGCCCAAAGCCACGCTCCCCTGGTTTCTAGGAGGGTGTTGGGTGGATGAAGGGAGAGGTGAGTCCCAGAAAGGAGAGTCAGCTCTCATGGGCCCGTCACCTCCTCCCCTCCTCCCAGAGTGGAGCTTTGGCTCCAGACCCCTGCAGCAGGGAGAGGGGGGAGGCCTTTGTCACTGGAGCCTTGGGCTCCGGGCTGGGCGGGGCTCAGAGCCCCTCCTCCTCTGTACCCCACATTGGGAGTTCCCAGGACTAGGGTGTGCTTTGCTCCCCCAGCCCGGCCCTGGGCTCCCTCCCCACGTGCCTTCTGCACAGTCACCCAGCAGGAGTCCCGCTCCATCTCACTGGGGCCTTCATCGATGAAATCTCCTGCGTTTCACAGCCATAAACAAGCAAGACGGGTATTTAAACTTTAGATACGGGATGTAGTATCGTGCAGGGTACTTTCTTTAATACTGTTTTGGAGATTCATCCGTCTGGTATCTGTAGCTCTACTTCAGTGTTCTAATGGCTCCAGACCCCGTTACCGCCTAGCCGCAAGTAATCCTACTGGGCCATCTCCAGGGGGTGCCGGACTCTCCCCCGCTGAGCTGGGTGGAGTGGGGGGCTCCAGGCAGGCTTCTCCCCCTCCCACCCCCACCAAGTACTCTTAGCCCGGAGGATGTGCAGCGTCAGGGGACCCTGGTGACCCGCGTCGTGCTGCACTGCCCGCCCACTGCACACTCCAGGCGGCTCTCCAGGCCAAGGGCCCCCTTGGGGAGGCTGCTTTCCACACGACTCCGGGGTCCCTGTGGTCCTCCAGGCCCCTCCAGGTGTGCCCGCAGCTCCCTCTGCATCCCCTACCCCACCAGTCCCTGCGCCAGTCACCCCTCCATCAAAGCGTTTTTACTGACAGCTTAGGAGGCTGGTCAGCCTTGGGAACAGTAACCGCAGGAGATGGTAGTGACCATGTTTTGAGCAGCTACCGTGTGCCAGGCGTAATGCCAAGACCCGTGCCTGGATTAATGCTCACAGTAAGCTGAGGAGGGGCTCTTATCATCCCAGTTTGCAAGTGAAGAAGCAGACGGGAGAGGTTGAGGTGCACACCCGCCCCCCATTCCCACCACCAAGCACAGGGCGCTGGGCTTGGCTCACTTCTCCCCCGTTCCACAAGGCCTTTGTAGGGAGGGCTGCCATTGCTTCTAACTGCCCCCCCAGGGCTCCCCACAATCAAGTTGGGCCCCTCCTGCCTTAGAGGTGCATCCTCTGTACTCCCAGCCCCTCTGTGGCCCCTCGATAGGGAGACTTGGGAGGAAGGACTTTGTTCCCTTCACTCCCAGAATCACGCCTTCCCTTTTGCTGCAGAGACAGGCAGAGGGCGAGGGGCAGTTTCCATGGAGAACTGCAGTTCAGGTCCCCAAACTTGTGCTGTCAGGCTGGGGGATCTAGGTCGGACCCCATTTGCACCACTGCTTACCCAACAGGTGATCTGAACAAATCCATTTTCCTTGTGCCTTACTTTCTTCATTGATAAAGGAGGTCGATAATCGTCCACTTCTGGGCACCTGGCAGGCATGCGACTCTTGATCTTGGACTTCTGAGTTCAAGCCCCATGTTGGGTATAGAGGTTACTTTAAAAAATAAAATCTTTTTAAAAATTTTTTATCAGGGCGCCTGGGTGGCTCAGATGGTGAGGCGTCTGCCTTCAGCTCAGATCATGATCTGAGTCGGCTTCTCCCTCTGCCTCTCTCCTGCTTGTGCTGTTTCTCTGTCTCTCGAATAAATAAAATCTTAAAAAAAAAAAAAAAAAAGATCAGAAGTCCTAGAAAGGGCTTTCATTAAAATAAGTAAATAAATATTTTTTTATTTTATTTTTTAATTTTTTTTAAAGATTTTATTTATTTGACAGAGAGAGACACAGCGAGAGCAGGAACACAAGCAGGGGGAGTGGGAGAGAGAGAAGCAGGCTTCCGGCGGAGCAGGGAGCCCGATGCGGGGCTCGATCCCAGGACCCTGGGATCATGACCTGAGCCGAAGGCAGATGCCTAAAGACTGAGACACCCAGGTGCCCCCTTTTAAAAAAAACTTTTTTTAATAGTTTGAAAAACTATGACGCTTAATGACTGAGCCACCCAGATGCCCCTAAAATTGTTTTTAAAGATTTTATTTATTTATTTGAGAAAGAGAGTGAGCGAGAGAGAGAGAGTGCACACACAAGCCAGGGAAGAGGCAGAGGGAGGGAGAAGCAGACTCCCCGCTGAGCAGGGAGGCTGATACGGAGCTCAATCCCAAGACCCTGAGATCATGACCTGAGCCAAAGGCAGACACTGAATGACTGAGCCACCCAGGCGCCCCCCAAAATAAAATCTTTTTAAAAAAATTACCTCACCTCGTGGCATTGTTTGGAGATCAAAATAAGACATTTCAGGGATGCCTGGGGGGCTCAGTCGGTGAAACGTCTGCCTTTGGCTCAGGTCATGATCCCAGGGTCCTGGGGTCGAGTCCTGTGTCAGGCTCCTTGCTCAGCGGGGGGCCTGCTTCTCCCCCTGCCTGCTCTGACTGCCGCTACCCCTGTTTGTGTGCTCCCTCCCACCCCAGCTTCTTTCTCTCTCTGACAAAATTTTTTTATTTTTTATTTTTTTTAAAGATTTTATTTATTTATTCATGAGAGACAGAGAGAGAGAGGCAGAGGGAGAAGCAGGCCTCCCGCGGAGCTGGGAGCCCGATGCGGGACTTGATCCCAGGACCCTGAGATCATGACCTGAGCCAAAGGCAGACGCTTAACCATCTGAGCCACCCAGGTGCCCGACAAATAAAATTTTTTTAAAAAAAGAAAAAAGACATTTCAGGATCCCTGGCGTCTGGGATCAAGAAAATGTTCCATGAGTGGTGTGGTTGCTGGGGGTGGGGTGAGGCCTGATTATTTCAGAGTTTGCATCCGTCCTGGGCTGGGGCTCAGGCAAGAATGGGTCAGGCTCTGCCCTCTGGAAGAGGTTGTTAAACACATACAGCCACGGAGGAATACTCCAGGGGACTATTCAGATGAGGGCCATGTAGGCAGGATCCTGAATGATGAGTGCAAGTCTGCTGGGTTGGGAAGGAAGGGAAGGATGTTTCAAGGACAAACACAGAGGCGGGCAGAATTGCAGTTTGTTGGGTAAGGCAGAAAGATAAAAACTGGCCAGAGACAGTGGTCTTGGGGGGGATCACAGCCAGAGAGTAGGCTGGAGGTCCACAGGGCCTTCTCCTGCCCAGGCCAGGGCTGGGGTAAGAGGAGGGGTTTACTTTTTATTGTGGAAGCCATGGGAAACCACTGACCATCTCAGGGAGGGCTCCATGTGACCAACCTTTGGTTGCAAGCATCCAGCCACAGCTGGGAAGTGGGTTGGAGGGCTCCCACCTGCTAGTGTGGGAGAGGGTGGGGAGGGGTGGGGGGACAAGAGACAGCCTCAGGAGAGGAGATACACAGAGTTCTTGAATGATACAGAGGACCCCCACCAGTCAGCCCTTCTGACCCCACTAGGGTTCTTATAGCCCCGCAGCCTTTCCTCTGCTGGTGCCCAACCTGCAAGAGCTCTGGCTAAGGAGGCATCCCTTTGCCCATGTCCGCCCATCCCCTCAGTTCTTCTTGAGGGGGAGCAGGGGCGCCCCCAGCGGAGCGTCAAGATGAGCTCTAGGTGAAGGCCCACCCACTCAGAGAAGATACTCCAATAACCCACGCCCCTGCCCCAGCAGCCTGGGCCCCTCTTCCCTCTCCATACCTCCCCCTACCTTTTGGGAGCTGAGCGAGTACCGCGGGGGCGAGCGGGGCGGGGCCAGCGAGCAGTTATAGCTGGCCCCGCCGCGCTGCGCCCCCGACGCCGCAGTTCCGCGGCGCGCCCAGCCCCATCTGAGTTAGCTCCTGGCCTGCCCCGCCGAGCGGCCGTCAACTTGAGCACCCTGGCGCGGGGCACAGGCGTGCGGGGCCCTGCGGGCCGGCCGGTGCTCGCATTGTTGCTGCTGCTGGCGCTGCTGGCGCTGCCCGCTGGCGCCTGGTACAAGCACGTGGCGAGTCCCCGCTACCACACAGTGGGCCGCGCCGCGGGCTTGCTCATGGGGCTGCGCCGCTCGCCCTACATGTGGCGCCGAGCGCTGCGCCCCGCTGCCGGGTCTCTTCCCTGGGACACCCAAGGCCTGGGCGCGTCCCCCCAGGGGCTATCCGCCAAAGACACCCTCTCTCCGGCGTCCGTCCCTCGCGGTGCTCTCCTGCTCTCCTCGGAGGTTCGGGAACTGTTGGAGATGGGACGCAGGTACTCCCGCGCAGGGCGCGAACTGCGCAGCCCGAGCCTGAACTGGAGCCGCGGCAGGGCGCCCATTCCTGGACCTCCGTGAAGCAGGCCAGGTACGTGGGGAGAGAAAGGGGGCCGGGACAGCAGCGGGTGGAGGATGTCTGGAGAGATCTGGGCCCGGAGCGCACGCCCGCGTGCCCACGAGACACCCTACGACCTTCCTATCTCCCACTTCTTGCCCAGAAAGCTTTCCAGGAGCCTTGGGGGGGGGGGGGAGGTAAGGGTTAGTGGAGGGTGCACAGCCTTCTCCCCAAGGTCCTGCTCTGTTCTTTCTAGAACCTTCGGAGTGTCTCCTGTTCAGCCATGGTCTGCGCAGTGAACCATCTTCGCTGGCCCCCACCTCTCCCCAGGGCCATCCTGAACGCAGCCCTTGCTGGTGATGCCCCCTTGTCTGACCCAGGAGTCTACTCCTCCTCCTGGGCGAACAGCTCAGGCCAGGCCAGGTGGTCTGGTCAATAAAAGCTGCCTGGTTCATGCATTCCCGCGTGTGACCCTTTTCCTCCACGCTGTATACTTGGCATCTAGCTTCGGGGTGCAAACAGCTGCGTTCACACCCTGGCAATTACAGGAGCCCTCTCCCTGGCCAGGGGATGCCCCCTCCTAACCATCTCGATCTGTAAGTCCTTGTGGGGCGGGGGAGGGGAGAGGGGACAGAGGCAGAGACACTGCTGGGGCCTAGGTCCCCTTCCTTCTCTGCCAGTACTGCCCCTCCTGTTCCAGGGTGGGGTCATCACACCAGGTCCCAGGGTCCCACTGCCATCCACCAGAAAGAGGAAAACGACTCACACACCACTAGCTGAGCCAGAGCTCCCACCCCAGCCTCCCGGGAGCCCCAGAGTGCCCCCTCACTATGCCTCCTGACCAGACTGGGGAGAATGTCTTCCTTAAGGTACCTTAAGACCAGCAGCCTTGGGATGCCTGAGTGGCTCAGTCAGTTAAGCGTCTGCCTTCAGGTCAGGTCATGATCCCAGGGTCCTGGGATCGAGCCCCGCATCAGGCTCCCTGCTCAGCGGAGAGCCTGCTTCTCCCTCTCCCTCTGCCTGCCACTCTATCTGTGCTCTCTCTCTGTCAAATAAATAAATAAAATCTTAAAAAAAAAAAGACCAGCAGCCTACCCAGCCTTTCCCACGTCTCCCAGGGTTCATTTCAAACCTGATCTCCTTCAACCCCCTCCTTCCCCTCAGCCAATGGCTTCTGGAGAGGAAGTGAGAACCCCTGGCCCCCTTCTTCAAGGTCCTGCTCCTCTTCTAAGGAGGAAGGGCCCCTTGCCTCCTCAGAGACCCTTCCACCTCTTATCCCCTCTGCATTTTCAGTTATTGGCTCCAACCCCCACGTAAATATGCTCTGCTGTCATGAATAAGGACCCCTGGGCCCCCTTACAGCTCCTGCTCACAAGTGTGTGGGCCCCTCCACCCTTCTGCCTCCTTGTCAACCCTCTTCGGTGTGGGCTCTGACTCCCACAACTGTCCTGGGCCTTGATGCGCCTAGTCACTGTGCCCTGATGCTGTCTGCCCTTGGAGGCCTCCCTTGGCCATGTGGCAAGGCCTTCCACTAGGGCACCCAGCCAGGACCAGAGGAGGGGTGGTCCCATGCCTGTCGAGCTGGCTAGCTTCAAGATACTCACATGGGGGCGCCTGGGTGGCTCAGTTGGTTAAGCGACTGCCTTTGGCTCAGGTCATGATCCTGGAGTCCCGGGATCGAGTCCCACATCGGGCTCCCTGCTCGGCAGGGAGTCTGCTTCTGTCTCTGACCCTCCCCCCTCTCATGTGCTCTCTCTCATTCTCTCTCTCAAATAAATAAATAAAATCTTAAAAAAAAAAAGATACATGGAACCAGCCCCCACGTTCTCCTTGGCCTCTGGAAGCCCCCACCTCTCCTTACTGGCAATTCCTGCTCATCTCCTGGGTGCACCCTTCTCCCCATGTTGTCCCCTAATGTGGGTGCTCTTTTTTCTCCACCCTCCCAAATCTTACTGACTGGCCCCTGACTATATTGACTCTGTTTCCAGGATCTGCACTGAGGGAAGGGGTGGCCACAGACTCCTCAGGTCAACCCATTCTCTGCACTCTGAGTCCATTCCTACTCCTGCTTCTTGCCAAACTCGGCCTTTCAAAGCACGGGCATCCTGACGACCTCACTTCCAGGGCACAACACCTCACTCTGCACCACCGATGGCACAAAAATCCACGTTCCAGGGCTGGGCCCCAGGGCTGCCCTGTCCCCCAGTCTCTTTGCTCCTTCCCCTCCCTCACACAGAGTGCAGGACCTGTGGGCAGATTCCAGAACGGCCCCATGGTCCACCCAGAAGAAGGACTCCAGGGCCTCAGGCCATGTTAAATGCCCTCCTCAGGGCTGCACCAGCCCGAGACCCGCCCTTACTCAGGCATATAAATCTGTTTCCAGGGGTCTAATGTTTCTCCAGTGCTCACCAGCGCCGGGTGCCAAGTGGTCTGCATATGTTTGGTCACAAGTGCTGGACACTTGGCGAGGCGCTGGATTTCACGTTGCCTGGAGGTACCCCATTCCAGGGAGGTTGGTGCCAGGTCCAAGGCGAAAGAGCAGTGCTGATTAGGGACTTGGCAGAGGCCCGGCTTCTCTGCCTACCACCTTCATGCACCCCTGTGCCCCTGAAGTGCAAGCAGCCCCAAGGCGCCGGCCTCACCCGCAATGCCCACCCGGCTGGGCAAGGCTGGACCGCGTCGGAGCCAGAGGGGCGGGGCCTAGGCCAGCCCCTCGGACGAAGCAATCCCACCGCGAGCCGGCAGGCGGCGCTGCGCGGCTGCTCTTCCGGGCGGCAGCCCCAGCCGGTGCCTGCGGCGGTGGGAGGGGCCAGGAGCGGGGCGTGGGCGGGCCCAGAGCTGGTGGGCGGGTCCCTGCACCGCCTGCCTCCGGTGGTCCGCGCCGTTCTCCCCTTCTCTCTCCCTCTCGGCTCCGGGTGTCGTGTTCTCATCTCTCTTTACGTCGCGCAGGTCCCGCCTGCTCCAGTTTCGGGCTCTGAAGAGAGGCCTGGGGTAGTCTGAGGGAGGAGGCCATAAGCGAGGCCCGGTCATCCCGTGGGGCCATTAATGCCCATTAGGGAGGCGGCGCCGGCCCGGGAAACTCTGGGCCATTACCCGGGCGTCCGACTAATGGCTCCACCCCACAGACGGGCCCCCAAACCTTCCCCTGGCGGGTGACCAGGCCTCTACCCACTGCCATGCCCCAGAGTCCCCGCCCAGGCTCAGGCTCCGCCCATCACTGGCGGCGTTGCAGCTGGGAGGTAGGTTCAAAGCTCAGAGGACAGCCCCCTCCCCGCCACTGGAGCCCCGGGCCAGCCCCCACCCCAGGTGGACCCTCGGACAGCCCAGGAGAGGGAAGCCCCGAAAGGTCTACTTCCCGTTTGTCTCAAGGCCTGTGTAGCAAGGTGGCAGCGAGGGCGTCGGGGGTGGGGGTGGGGATCACCTCCCACCTGTCCTCCCCGCCTGCCGCTGGCCTCGCTGATCACCTCCTCAGGCCCACTCCCCAGCGACCCCAAACAGCTTACAGCCCCTGAGCACCTTTCGGTCCGCTCTTCTGGGTCGTTGTCCATGCTGTTCTCTTGGCCTGTTTCTCTGCCTCCCACTTCTGTCTCAGCCCGAGGCCCGAGGCTGAAGGAAGGGCGCGGGCGAGTCTGCCCAGGAGAGCAGCTGGGTTAGCTTTCCCTGCCTCTGTTCGTCGGGCCCGATACTTACCCTGTTCCCTCTCACTCATTCCTGCTCCCCCTTTGGAATTTACCTGCACTTCCTCCGAGCTGCCTTTATTCTGTGGCTGTTGGCCACCCCCTTTGTTACTCTCTGATGTTGCCTTTGTTACTGTTACCTTCCTGGTACTTCAGCTCCTTTTTTGCTTTGGAGCCTCCTTTGTTAGGCTGTGATGCAGTATTCTGGCCCCTGGCTGTGACCACATGCCCATACCCCTCCCTCCAGTGGTGTTCTGTTCCCCTCCGTCTTCACTGACTGAGGCTGATCCTGGGAGTGTCTGTCCTATGGAGGGGGGAGGAGACCTCCAAGCCTCCCGACCCAGACCCGGAGGACCAGGGGCTCCTACCTTCTCTACCCCCAGCCTGGGGGTCTCCCATCCAGCTACCTCCCTAGACTCTGGTGTGGCCCCATGCCAGAGCCTGGCAGGTCCTGGCTGGTCCTGGTTGCTATGGGGTGACCCCTAAATCCCATCTGGGGTGGTATATGGTAGACCGCACCCATCCTCACAGCCTCCAGGAGCAGCAGCACCAGGCTGGGTCCAGAGAGTCCATCACAGGCCAGACAGGCAGCCTCTGGACAGGCAAACAGACAGATCGAGGTGGCCAGCTAGGCAGGAACCTATGGCAGCATCAGCCAGGAACTTAGAGGTGGGGGTGGGGAAGCAGCCATGCAGTCTTGGCCTAAGTGGCTTTTAGGGGCAGCAGCCGGGTGTGGAGACCCAAGGGGCTGCGGCCCAGGAGGCTGCCCAGAGGAGAGCCCTGTGCTTGGGCGGGGGCTGGGCACCCAGGCTAAGGGCACTGGAGAGGGGAGAAGGAGCAGCAAGGACAGGGCCTGAGCCGAGCCTGCTTCTGCCCCCATGGGGAACTGTCTGGGCTGGCTATGCCTGACCCCCAGAGACCAGGTATGTGCAGGGGCCTGGGCAGGCTGGGGGGGGGGGGCAGGCTGAGGGGGAGCTCAGCTGTCTTCCTGTATCTGAGGCTGAGAAAGAGTTCCATGATAAAGTGTGGACTTGGAATCTCACAGCAGTGCCTAAGAGGACCTGGGGAACCTTGCCTGGGTCTCGTTCCTCTCTAGAACTCAGTTTCTTGATCTGCAAAATGGCCTGAGCACCCTTGGGTTTTTCCAGATAAAGTGTACTCAGAAGCACAACAAAGCATAACCGATTTTCTCTTGTCATTCTTGTCTGGTTGGGGGAAGGGGCACCCATGCTGGGGATGGCTAGATGCTAGGGGAGAAGGATGGAGGGAAGGGTGGCCTGGGGCAGAGGGGGATCACAGGGGTCAGCTCATGGGAACAGCTTCTGTGAGCACGGATCCCAAGCCAGAGGTCAGAGGCCAAAGTCTTGGATACATTTCATCTCTGCCTGAAATGAGCAGGGGCACAAGTGAGGGGCCCTGGCAAAGAGAGAGGTATGTGTGTGCGTGCGTGTGTGTGTGGGGGGGTTGTAATGTTTAATAGACATCCCCAGCACAGATTGGCACAAACGATCTTCTGGGGAGGTCAGGGAGCCCCCGTCACTGCCCTCCAGAATATAGGAGAGGGCTGCTGCCTTGTTACTTCCAAACTCCTCTTTTTGCCTCCTGGACCGTCCTGGGACTCTGTTGGGTCCCAGATACCGGGACAGCGGGGGAGGAGGTGGGGGGAAGGGAGGGTGTGTTCCCGAGGATGGTGGACAGAGCTGTGTCCCTTGTTCTTACCCTCTGCCCCTGTGTGGGATTCCTCGGCCTGAGGACCCTTTCTCCACCCCTCTCCTACCTCAAGAGCCCGCCTCGGTGTCACAAATACAGTAGGTGCTCAATAAATGTTCCTGGACTAGGAAGCAAAGATGCTGGCGCCAGGGAGGCTGCCCAGAGTCGGGGCGAGACAGAGGTGGTCCCTAGGCCCTGCGGCCTCCCCCCCACCCCCCGGAATTGGCGGGGTGCCGAGACCGGGCCACAGCCAGGACCGGCCGGGACTCGGGGCGGGGGCGGCCCCACGGAGGAGGCGGGGAAGGGGCGGGCGCGGGGGCGGTGCCATAGCCCGAGCCCGAGCCCGAGCCCGAGGCGACGGGAGCCGAGCGGGAGCAGCCGAGGGCGCCGCCGGGTCCCCAGCGCCACCGCTGCCGCCTGCGCGCCGCCCCCCGCGCCCCTGCCTGCCCGCGGCAGGCGTGAGCGCCGTGGCCGGCCGGCGGCCGGCCGGTGGGCAGCCGCCGCCATGGCCGCCCCGGAGCCGCTGCGGCCGCGCCTGTGCCGCCTGGTGCGCGGCGAGCAGGGCTACGGCTTCCACCTGCACGGCGAGAAGGGCCGCCGCGGGCAGTTCATCCGGCGCGTGGAGCCCGGCTCCCCCGCCGAGGCGGCCGCGCTGCGCGCCGGGGACCGGCTGGTCGAGGTCAACGGCGTCAACGTGGAGGGCGAGACGCACCACCAGGTGGGTACCCGCGCCCCGCCCGCGGCCCCGCTGGGCCCCCTCCCCGGGGAGCGCGGCCCCGCCCCGCGCTCGCGCGACCGCCGCTCCGGGCGCTCGGTGCGCCCAGGCCTCAGCGCCCTGCCCCGGGGGCCGGAGGGGGGTCGCGCGAGGGCCTGCGTGGGCTCCCGCTCCGAGGTTGCGGACGTGGCCACGGAGGCAGCGGCCGCCGGCCTCCTTCCTCGCCTCTCCCCCTCAGGAAGCTGGCGCCTGCACCGCGGAGGGGCATCCTGGCAGGGAGGGGCCCGCACTGCGGCTCCTCGCCCTCGGCCCCAGCACTTCAGTCCTGTTCGGGCCTCGTGTGCGAGGAGTGCAGGCGTCAGTCACCTTGGGGGCCCTCCATGCTTTGCGGGCCCGGAGTGCTTGTCTATGAGTGTAAACACGTGCTTGTGTACACAGCTGGGTATGTGTGTGTACACGTCCCTCTGGGGGTCACGCCCGTGTGCCCACATCGGTTCTGGGGGTACCTGAGGGGTGTCCCAGTGAGGGCACACCTGTATGTGCCTGTGTCAGTGTGTGTGTGTGCGTGTGCACGTGCTGCCCTGTGCGTGTGAATATACAGGTCTGCACCTCTAGGTGTGTGTGTCCAGGCCTGTGGGTCGGCCTGCCTGGCTACGAGTGGTCATCAGTGTGTGTTGGCAGGTCAATGTACTAATAATGTGTGTCTTGGCTGATGGTGTCTGGGTCCCTCAGAGTCGCTGCTGGTGGCAGCATATGCCACTCCTTGGAGGCTGCCCGGCCCTGCAGGGGCTGCTGCCGCAGCCCCCTGCCCCCTGCCCCCTGCCGCTGGACATGAGGGCCAGAAGCAGGGCAGGGTCTGTTCTCGGCAGGTTCTGCTCCCTGGGGACTCTCTATCTTCCACTGCCCAGGGACTCAGCTGGCTGGAGTCCAGCCTCCCTCCACCCCTTCTGCTCAGGCTTCTCTGTGTCCTCCCCAGCACCCGTGAGTCTGTGACCTGTCTTCGTGGCCAGCCCTGGGGCCTAGAGATTAGTATTTTTGTTCCTGGCTGGGCCAGCAGCTGAACTCCAGCTTCTACCCCTGAGGCCCCTGTCTGTCCATCTGTCTGCCTACCTTCTGTGTTCCACCCAGCGTGTCCCTGGATAAAGCTGTTTGCTGAAGGAGGGTGGGGTGCGGGCCAGAGGTCTGGGCTTGACAGACCACAGGGAGGGGTACCAGAGTGCCAGCTGGCTTTGGTTTAACAGTCACTGCCACCCTTGCCCCAAGAGCACCTGCTTCTCCCAGGGCCCCAGGTGCTGGTCTCGAAGTTTACACACAGGACCATGCTGGCCCAGGAGGGAGGAGGTGCTCTTACAGCTCCTTGTTTGACACATGAGGAAACTGATGCTTGAGGATATTGGGTGTCTAGTCTGGGTCCCACAGTCAGGAAGCGGCAGGGTGCTGGGGTCCCCCTGTGGCTCTCACCAAGAGAGAGGAGAGGGCAGAGGAGGGCCAGGGGGAAGATGGGCCTGGTTCACACCCTCCTGTCCATTGACAGCTTCTGCCAAGCAGCTGTTGGGGGCCCTCTCTGCCCTCCCCCAAACTTGGGGTGGGGGTCTTGTCCTTCCTACCCCAATGCCCAGGGGGCACTGACTGCTCCTTCTCCCTGCAGGACACACCCTGACATGCACACTCCATGGTCCCCCACACGCTCTAGACACTTCACAGACACCTGCATAGACACACATGGCCCTCATGTCGCACTTGGTCCCACAGGTGGCCTCTGCCTGCCGGGTCTGAACCCTGCTTCCCAGGTTGTGTGTGGGTGCCCCAGCGGGTGCGTTGCCACAGGAACCAGGCCTTCCTGTCTCTGCAGGTCCAGCAGGGACAGGTGGTCATGGTCTGGAAGCAAATGGAAGGCTCAGAGGCAGGGGTTTAGACATCCATGCTCCACTGCTGAGAACAGCAATGGCCACAGACCCTCAGACAGGGACCTAGGGAGACCCCTCGCTCCCTCACCCGCAGACTGAGAGACAGACCCTGAAACAGCTGGATGCACACCTGCACACATCCGTGCGCACACACTCAGACCCTGAAAACCCCAAGCTCAGCCGTGCACCACCTTTCAGACCAACTGCCTCACCCAGCTTCCCAGCCCTTCCTGGACGAGACCCGGGGCCAAGGCCAGGCCCTGCAGTGACCCTGTAGCCCTGTGTCAGGAGTCCTCCGTAAAGAGGGAGGGAGCTGCTGGTACACTGGGGGTGGGGGGCGGAGCCGGCTGGCCTCTCCGTCCAGCCGCCCACCCCTGGTAGGCCAGCTGCCTGCCCGCGATCCTGGGCCGGCCCCGGGTGGTGTCACTGTCCATGTGCTGCCCAGAGTGCCGACTGCTGACCTGCTCCCCCCAACCTGCCCGGCCCAGGTGGTGCAGAGGATCAAGGCTGTGGAAGGGCAGACTCGGCTGCTGGTGGTGGACAAAGAGACGGACGAGGAGCTCCGACGGCGGCAGCTGACCTGCACTGAGGAGATGGCCCAGCGAGGGCTTCCACCCACCCACGACCCCTGGGAGCCAAAGCCGGACTGGGCACGTGCAGGCAGCCTGGGCTCTGAGGCTGGCCAGAAGGTACGGCAGGCTCTGCACACCGGGGCCACCCCAGCTTGTCCCAGAACCATCGTGTCTGCCTCTGGATGGCGGGCAGTCTCCCCCTCCGCTCACCTCCACAAGGCTCTGTCTCCATCTCTTCTGCCTCTTGGGGCCCCTGGTGACTACCCTCTTGGCTACTTGGGGCCACTCTTTCTGCCCTCAGTCTGTGTTCTAAGGCAGGTGGACTCAGGGGAGCGTGGCCCTGGTCCCTGGCCCTCCATCTCCAGCGCTCTTCCCCAGGATGCTCATTAGAGCTCCCTGGCCTAGGAAAGGTCACTCTGACAAGCCCAGCCTAGGGGCTGAGGGAACTGGGAAGGGTCTGCAGGGATGTTCTGTGACGGAGTGTGTCTAGCTCTGTGTTGATGTCAGGTGTCTGCCTGTCTAAGGAGCCTGCTTGTGCTGGGAAGGTCTTGAGAGGTAGGGGCTGGTCCTTCTCTGTGGGCAGTGCATGGTTGGGGACAGCCGGGGACACTCTGAGCTGGGTCCTCAGCTTGGGGTCTACCGCGATTGGGGTACTTTTCTCTTCCTGTGTCCGCTCCAGGCCAGAAGAGCTGGAATAAATATGTGTGTGCGTGTGTGTGTGTGTTGCTATTCTACAGACTTCTGGGTGGCAGGACTTGGGCGGGGGTTCCTGCTTGGGGGAGGCCAAGAGGAAGAGCCTGCCCTTGCTTGTTCTACCCCGTTTTTTTTAATTTTATTATTATTTGTTTCTTTATTTGAGAGAGGGAGAGGGGGAGAGAGAGAAAGGGAGAGCAACTGGAGGGGCAGAGGGAGAGAATCCCCAAGCAGATGCCCCACGGAGTGTGGGGCCTGACTCCAGGCTCAACGCAGGGCTCGATCTCACGACCCATGAGATCATGACCCATGAGATCATGACCCTGAGCCAAAACCACCCAGGCGCCCCGATTGTTCTATCATCTCGAAGCCCCATGGTACTGTTTCTCGTGCCCGTTTTGCCTTTTTTTTTTTTTTTTTAAGATTTTATTTATTTATCTGACAGAGAACGAGAACACAAGCAGGGGCAGAGGGAGAGAGAGAAGCAGAGTCCCTGCTGAGCAGGGAGCCCCAAATGGGGCTCCATCCCGGGACCCCAGGATCATGATCTAAGCCGAAGGCAGACGCTCAAGGGACTGAGCCACCCAGGCGCCTTTTTTCTTTCTTCTCTCTCTTTTTTTTTAAATTTCTTTAAAGGATTCAATCCCAGGGGTTTCCCCAGATCCCACTTTGAGAACCACTGGCCTAATGCCAGTGGAGGTGTGAGATCTGAAGTTTCTGGGTGTGCATGTCTCACGTGTGAGCTGGCCGTGCCTGGGGCTCGGGGGAAGGCGGCATTTCAGGTGGGAAGCCAGCCTGGATGCAGACCTGGGTCTGAACCTTCAGGATGCTTTTTGTTCTCTGGGCTGGAGAGCCTATGGGGGTGGTCAGGGCCCGAGTTGGGGGCATCCGGGTCAGCTGTGGGGTTTCAGGGAGGTCTGGGACGATGTGCTGGCTGGGCTGGCTCCCAGAGCACCGCTCCTTCGCAGGCGTCTTACCTCCCGGAGGAAGCGCCCCCGCCCCCAGGCGTTTGTCCATTGATTTAGACACAAACGCTGAGTTCACCTTCCTGTGGAAAAATCCGCCCTCGGGGCTTATCTGGAGGGTGGGGTGCTGAGGCACCTTGTCCTTGGGTGGGACCTTCCCTCTCTGCTATTTCAGGCTCTGGGAGCCACAGGAAGCCTTAGGAGGGGGCTTCCTCTGGGCGTATTTTTAGAGGAACAAAGTGGGGCCTGACTGGCAGGGGCTCTGTGGTAGGGGCCAGCCTGGGGACCGGGACTCCAGGATGTCAGGGGAGGCCCAGGGGACAGGGCGACCCCCTCCCTCCCAGCCAGAGACCTGATGTCTAACTGGCTGAGCTCAGAGGGTCCGATGGAAGAGCCAGGCCTCGGCTGACCTCCCCAGGACCGATTGGCGGTCAGGGTGCCTGGGAGGGTGGTTCTTGCCTGCGGCAGGCAGGACAACCGGCTGGGATGGATGTGGTTTGCTCTAGTGCAGGATGTCAGCCCCCGGGGGCCCCGTGGGAAGTAAGGGCCAAGCTGGGACTCAGGGCCCCGCAAGTCACTCCTGTCCTCTCAGCTCCTTTTCCTCCGTCCCGGCTGGGCTGTGGGAGGTGGGGCGGGGAGGACACCGATGGGGCGGCCCCTCCCATTGGGGTGCTGTGGGGTCCTAGTCAGTGGTGACTCAGCCCCAGGCCAGAGCAGGCTGGGCAGGCTGAAGCTGCAGTCCAGCTGATCCTGACAGTGACGAGAGGGACAGCCCCCAAACAGATGGGGCAGCCTGCGGTACCAGGGCCGTGGAGGTGGGGACAGAGCCTGGGCCCCCACTGCCCGTTCTAGAGGCCCTTAGGGTCCGAGCGTGAGCGAGCGAGGGAGTGAGAGTCCTGCAGGGGGTGACCGCCTGGTGTGGGAGCCTCGTACCTACGGGAAGGCTCTGGGAGCCTCAGCAGGACTGTCTTATGCTCCGGCGCCGGGGACCCCTCCCTTGCCTCCCTGTCTCCCCAGCCCCGGGTCCTGGGAGCAGGGCAGGGCCTCCCAGCAGCTTCCTTCCTTCCTTTCTTGGGACTGAAACCTAGCCAGTATGGGGTGCCTAGCTGGGGCCTGAGCAGGGGAGGGGGACCCAGACACCACCCTGCTCCCCAAAGTGACTCAGCCCCCATGTCCCCACCCATCCCTGGGGAGCCGGGGCCGCTGTGGGAGGTGGATAAATGGGGTGGTGGCCTGGGCTGGCCGGAGACTTCAGGCCACTCTGGCTGGACGCTCGGTGCCTGCCACTTCTCTCCTGCCTCCCATGGCCCGCTCTGGGGATGCCACACCACCGGCACCAGCCCCAGGAGCCCCTCCGAAGAGACCATCCTGGGGACTTGTGCAGGTCAGGCTGGGTGGGGGCAGGGTGGGCAACGAGGACCCCAGCAGCCAGCTTAGCCCATGTCCTCCAGGGTCAGGAGAGGGGATTTGGGACACCCTGGTGACCCTGGTGCGAGCAGGCTGCACCCTGAGCAACAATGGGGGCCTTTCTCTGTCAGGGCTGGTGAGTCACCATCTGGGGGGGGCACAGCCCGGCTCCCGGGGTACCCCCATGCCAGCTTCTTTGTCTGGTCACGGGCTGCGCTGTGAGACCAGGGCTTGTCCAGCTCCGGGCTGCCCGGCTGGGAGCCCTTGGGAGCCTGAGGGCCTGGCTGGGAGGTGGCAGGAAGTGCTCAGAGCCAGGGCCCGGAGCGAGGAATGTGAGCAATGCACTGGGCCTGCCTGCGCCCCCTCCTGACCCACTGCTTCTCCGGGCTTCCCCACGCAGCCTGGCCCCCCGCATTGCAGCCTCTCAACCTGAGGGTCTGGTGCCGGGGGTGGGGCTCCTTGGATGCTGGCTGATCCTGGCTGATCGGCAGGAGAGCAATTCAGGCAAGAATTGCAGAGAAGCCTCTTGGCTAGTGTGGTGAGCGGTGGCCGTGCTGGGTTGAGGCAGGGGGATGGCCAGGATGGTCCCAAACCCGGATGTGACTTCTGCCTGGCCTCATGGCCCCGGATACTCCCCCAGTCCTGCTTCCTGTTTGGGGGCCTTGAGAGACCTGCCGGGGAGGTCACTGTGCAGGGCGGGGAGGTCACTGTGCAGGGCGTGAGAAGAGGCTGCAGGGCTCAGCGCCAGGGGGCTGTCCTCTCGACGCGTGTGTCACCGTGTAGTGTGTTGTGAGCGTATGTTTGCATGTCTGGTCTCTGTGGCCATGTGCCTCTCACATCTGGGCCCGTGTCCACCTGCCAGGCTCTGCTCCTGGCCTGTCAGCCTCGGGGTGTGGGCTCTGGCCACCTGGATCTGAGCGGCACCTCTGCGTGCGGGGGCACTCAAAGCCTGTGCCTCGAGGTGTGTCTGGGAGAGGGGCTGAGTCTGTACAGGGGTACCCTGGAGCACTCGGGGGTCTAACACCCGTCAGTTCAGCTCATGTTGCCCAGCCGAACCCCTGGGGGATCAAGGAGCAGCTGCCCTGTCCCTTGAGTTCCTGGGGTTATGGGGCGAGGTGGTGGCCTGCAGTGGGGATCCCGAGGGCATGTCTGGGTGGGCTTTGGGGGTCCAGAAAGGGGTCCCAGAGGAAGGGTGCAGGCTGGGGAGGAAGAGGGTGTTCTGGACAAGGGGGAGGTCTGGAGCCAGGGCAGGGCACTGGCCCTGTGAGAAAAGATGCGCTTGGGTCCACAGCCAGGCTGACTAGCAGGCCAGAGTACTCACGGTCAGATTTGAGGAATGAGCTCAGAGGCCTGGAGGCTGGGAGTGGTCAGGGGGTGGCCTGAGCTGCAGGGGGCAGGTGCCTGAGGCCTGGAGAGCTTCCCTGGGGGTGAGGGTAGGTGGAGGGTCAGGGAGGGGCCCAGGGAGCACCCCCACCCGGCACTTGCTCACCTGCGCGCGCACTCAAGTCCTGAGCGGCCCCGGAAACCTGAGCTGCTGCCCGCCCAGGCACTCCGGCCACCCGCCATGTTTAATTGAGCACCCACAGCCGCTAGCCACCCACGCTGTGGTCGCGGCCCCAAGCCGTGGCTTGGGGGGCGCGTCCTGGGGACTGGCCCCTGCCCGCACGGCCCCCTGACCCACAGCCCTACTGCAGGATGCCCGAGGTAAAGTGAGGCGAGGCCCTGGGTTGTCGATGCGGGGGGGCGCTTGGGGCATCCTGGGCCTTCTGTGTTCTGGCAGGGAGGGTGGGAGGGCAGGTCCCACCCTTGGCCTTCTCACTCGCTTCGGCTCGGCCCCTGCGCCCTGTCCCTGGGCCCTATGGGGGTGGGGGTGGCTCCAGCTTGCTCTGGAATGTAAAAGCAAACACATCACTCTGCCACCAGCCCTATGGAGGCCACAGGGAGAAGGGGAGAAAAAACAAACGTCAGCCTCTCACTCGGAGGGAGGGGGGAGGGGGTTCTCTAGCAGCGCACCCCCCTAGGGATAGCTGTCCAGGACACTTGTCTCACCTGGCTGCTCCTAGGTCCCTGGCCTGGGCTCAGCGCTGCCCTTGAGCAGATCCTGTTAATACCCCTGTAAAGCCCCTGGTCCCATTTGAAGTTGTTTTGGGTTTGGAAACTGAGGCTTTGCTCAAGATCCCGCTGCTGAGCTCAGTCACAGGCACCCTACCAGGGTCCCCAGGCATGGGTACAGAGGGTTTGTCCCTGAGACCTGGGGCTGCCGGGCAGGGCGTGATGTTGAGCGTGGGGTTGGGGTTCCTCTGGCCCACATCCACTGCAGCTGCGTTCTGGGGGCCTGAGGCCTGGCGGGCTGGGTCAGCGGCCGTGGTGGGGGATGGGGGGGGAGATCAGCGCTGAGCCTGGTCTCACGTGCCTGCAGGATGTCAGTGGGCCCCCGAGGGAGCTACGCCCTCGGCTGTGCCACCTCCGAAAGGGCCCCCAAGGCTACGGGTTCAACCTGCACAGTGACAAGTCCCGGCCGGGACAGTATATCCGCTCCGTGGACCCAGGCTCACCTGCTGCTCACTCTGGCCTCCGCGCCCAGGACAGACTCATAGAGGTACCTGTCATGGAGGCTTTGGGGTCCTGGGCCCCAAGTGTGTGTCTGGGCCCCTGTCCCCCCCTCACCCCGCATGTGTGTCTGGGCCCCTATCCCCCCCTCACCCCGCATGTGTGTCTGGGCCCGTGTCCCCCCCCCCACCCCGAGTGTGTGTCTGGGCCTGTGCCCCCCCACCCCGAGTGTGTGTCTTGGCCTGTGTCCACCCCAAGTGTGTGGGCCCATGTCTCCCCCCACCCCGAGTGTATGTCTGGGCCCATGTACCCCCCCGAGTGTGTATCTGGGCCCGTGTCCTCCCCACCCCCAGTGTTGTCTGGGCCCATGTCCCCCCCAGTGTGTGTCTGGGCCCATGTTCCCCCCCAGTGTTGTCTGGGCCCATGTCCCCCCCAGTGTTGTCTGGGCCCGTGTCCCCCCACGAGTGTTGTCTGGGCCCGTGTCCTCCCCCCAGTGTTGTCTGGGCCCGTGTTCCCCCAACCCCCAGTGTGTGTCTGGGCCTGTGTCGCCCCCAGTGTGTGTCTGGGCAGGGAGGTCCTTGCTGGGAAGAGGAGAGATGCTGGGAACTTGAGCTGGCATTCCTCTTGCTGCCACGGCTGGTGACAACATTGATAAATATTTGATGCCACACCTGGCTGGGTGGCTCAGGGGGCCTGCAGGGGCCTGACTTCCGGCAGTGCTGACCCCATGCTGCTGGTGGCAGGTGAACGGGCAGAATGTCGAGGGGCTGCGCCACGCAGAGGTGGTTGCCAGCATCAGGGCGAGGGAGGATGAGGCCCGGCTGCTGGTGGTGGACCCTGAGACGGACGAGTACTTCAAGCGGCTCCGGGTCACGCCCACTGAGGAGCATTTGGAAGGTGGGTTGCTGCCTGGGGGCCTGGGGATGGGGTGAAGCATGGGGGGCTGGGCAGCCACTGACACCCTGTTCCCACAGGTCCACTGCCATCACCAGTCACCAATGGGACCAGCCCTGCCCAGGTAAGAGGGTGGGAATGGACCGGGTGGGCCATAGGGGCACCTCTAGGGATCCCCAGGCCGCGCCTCAAGATCTCCTTGTGTTGGTGTGACCATGAGACCCAATCTGGCCCGACCACTTCTAGCTCTCATGCTCCCTGTGGGTCCTGTCCTGGGTCAGCCACACCCCAGCCCCAGGCGGCTGTTGGCCTTGCGGGTCCTGCCCAGTGCTGGCTGGCGACCTGGAGTCTCACTCCGTCACTCCTTGGGAAGCTGGCCCTGGCTTCACCCCATGGGATGCTCGTGTGGCTCATTCCTGTTGTGAGCCGGCCAGGGCTGGCTTCCCAGCCCTCCGCAGCACCTGTCCACTCACTGCCGGGTGTCCAGCATCCTGCCCGGGCTGGGCCTGGAGTACAGTAGAGGCTAGGCGCCACCTGCCAAATGGAAGACTAGATGCAGCTCTGATGTGCATGTGGGCACACGTGTGCGTGTGTGTGTGCTCGTCTGCGTGTGCACCCGCGGCTCCCGGGCAGGGTCCCTGAAGCCACACCTTGCCCTTGGTTTCCCAGGTCAACGGTGGCTCAGCGTGCTCGTCTCGAAGTGATCTGCCTGGCTTAGACAAGGACACTGAGGTAGCAAGTGCCTGCCCGTCCCCACTGCTGTGCTCACACATGGGGGGTCAGAGCTTTGGGAGTGGGCCTCTGTGCAGCCTGATCAGTGGGGTCACCACCTCTAGGACACCCTCTAGGGCCCGCTGCCCCAGCCCCACCAGGTGGCCTGTGGTATGAGCTGCCCGGGAGGGGGTCACCCGACGGGGGGCTTGCGTCCGGGACTCACTCTGGCCACCTGCCCCACCCCCCATCCAGGACAGCAGCACCTGGAAGCGGGACCCCTTTCAGGAGAGTGGCCTCCACCTGAGCCCCACGGCGGCCGAAGCCAAGGAGAAGGCGAGAGCCACCCGGATCAATAAGCGGGCACCACAGATGGACTGGAACAGGAAACGCGAGATCTTCAGCAACTTCTGAGCCCCTCCCTGCCTGTTTGCACGGCCCACAGGCCTCGCCCCACAGGCCCAGCCCAGAGTTCCCCAAGCCTCAGTGGACTGGAGGGAGTGCCTCCTCACCCCCAGAAGCCGTGCTGGTCCCACCACCACCCAGGAACCAATGTGCGCCCCAGTGAGCCCCGTCCTGCCCCCCTACCTGCTGGGTGCTGGATAGGGGAGAGGGGGCCCCCCTGAGATAGAAGAGAGGGACAGAGAGAGGCAGTGGTGACCGTGGGCCCGGCCCTTTTGCTGCTCTGCCCGGGCCTGCTGACTTAAAGGAATTTGTGTTTTTGCTTTTCTTCCAAAAACAAAAAAAGAGAGAGAGCTCCAGTTCCACACATGTTTCCACTTAATACCAGAGTCCCGCCCCCGCCCCTGCCCCCGCAGGACGCCTCTCTAAGTAATTGCAATAAAACAAACCTTTCTCTGCAAACCATTTCCTCCCCACCCTTCAGCAGCAGCCATCCCAAGTGGGCGCCCCGGGCACTTCCAGGGACAGAGGAAAACGTAGGGGGGCCAGACTGTGGTTGTGGGGGCTTCAGCGTGACACTGGGGAGGCCAGATGTGGCTGTAGGAGCTGCCCCTCTGCCCCCTCCCTGCTGGGAGCAGGGGTCACCAGGCCAGGCCCCCATGTCCCTACTCAACTGTGGTCTGGGGCATGGGGCCTGGGCTCCAGGGGCCCGAAGATGGAGGCCCTGTGTCCCAGAAGAGGGTGGTCTCCGGACAGGCCTCTTGTCCCTGCGCCACAGCCGCGAGGCATGGGGAGTGTGGCTGTGGGAGAGCTTGCCTGCCCCCAGGAGACCCCCACCCACTCTCCCTTTCCTGCTGGCCCCGGCTGACATTGCTGTCTGCCCCGTAAGCCATAGCGCATGCGCGCCCTCCTAATAAACAGGCCTTCCTCAGACCTGTGGCCGCCTGTCCTTCCTGAGACCTCACTTGGGGGTGGGGGGCTGTGGTCTGGGCAGGAAGGGAGCAGCTAGGGAGCCCCACTCTCAGCTGCTGGAAGCAGAGGCTCATTCCCAAGCCTCTCCCACTCCATCCACCTGGCAGCAAAGCCTGACCCCTCTCCACTTCTGCTCTGTCTCCCCCTCCCCAGCCCCCTGGAGACCCCCAAAACTTGGAGCCCTGCCTCCTCCTTCATTGGCACACCCTTGGGGCCCTTGCTATCTTCTCCCTCCCCCACCCTCCATGCCTTCTGGATCCTTGACGCCCCCGCCACTCCAGCAGGTACACACGGGTCAGGTCTCATGTCCTGTGGCACCCGGCCTGGGCCTACTGGTGTTACTCCAGAGGCCAGGTGGCTCTGTAAACACGGGGTGGGGCCTCCTGGCAGAGAGCTCTCAGGGTGCCAAAGTTCGGGGGATGGGTGTAGATCTGCGTGCCCAGCCAGCTGCCCAGGTTGGAGGAGGCCCGGGTCTCCAGCGGGCTTCCCGCCATCCATCTCTTCTGTCCCAGGCTCCTGCACACCCATCACCCCCCACCCCCGCCCAGTCCACAGCCCAGATTTTCACGTCCCCATCTCATCCTCCCAGGCAGCCCTGTTCAGACACACAGCTCACTCACGTGCTTCCCGGCCTACCCCCACGCCCCAGGGGTAAGACGCGGCCAGACCCCCACAGCAAACAACTCCCGAGCTTTATTATAAGCAGGCCGTGGCTCCCCAGCGTAGGCCAGCGCACGGTGGCCGGGCCAAGGCTTCATGGCCCACAGAGGCTGCGTGCAGCCGGGCACAGGCTCCGGTTGAGGCAGGCCTGGCAGTGTGGGTGGACGGGCAGACACGTCTGCTGGCCGAAGCCCACCAACAGTCCGTTGATCTCACTCCACAGCTCCCTGTGAAGGTGAGAGGTCAGCAGGGGAGGGAGACCGAGGGCAGCCCCCCCCCAGCCCCCAGCCCCCACCCTGCCGCACCGGGGCAGCCAGGCTTCCAGCGCCGCACGAGTCTTCTCCGGGGACTTGGTCGCCATCTTGGTCCACCCTAGTCTGTTGGCGATTCTGTGCACGTGGGTGTCCACCGCTGTGGGAGACAGGACCGGCTCATCACAGGGCGCGCTGGCGGACACAGACCCTGCCAACAGCCCCAAGCCTGGAGCCGGAGTCTCCCCCGCTCCCACCCCAGGGGCTTCCACGGAGGGCAGGTCAGCGGCTTGAGCGAGAGGGTAGGGCCTGCTAGCTGGGGTGCAGGCAGCGGTGCCTCCTGGCCCAGGAACTGGCTGTGAGTGCTCACGGTTAGGCTAGCGGGAGGTCACGGCCCCCAGCGCCCGCACCTACCACGGCATGGCCAGGGACAGAGCAGGGCGTGTGGCCAGGCCAGCTGCAGCTGCCCTCTCCGTGGGCCGCGGTCCCGGCTCCCCTGGGCCGGGCCACCCCAAGGCTCGGCCTGGGCACCTGCTCTCCCTGCAAGCTGTAGCCCCTGCCTCCTCTCAGCTTTGCAAAAGAGAACCTGAGCCCTACACCTGCTCCCTTCCCCTGCTACTAATGGTCTGGAAAAAGCCTCAGGCCTTCCCCAGACGCTAACGGAGGGCACCCTGTGGGCACAGGGAGGGCACGCGGGTGCAGGGGTCATGCTAGTGGGTCACCACGGCTCCGCTTCCTCCCCTGTAGCACAGAAATGATCACTGCCTGTCCCCCAGAGGGGGCCCAAACCCTTGGTCCTCCCCCGGGGGCCCAGCCTAGGGCCACGGCACACCACTCAAGCCTCCTGCGGGCAGGTCCTCTGCACGCTTTCCCAGCTTGGTGGCCAAAGCTCCAAGCGGCTAAGCGTATTGCCTCATGGTCACCCAGCTGGGACAGCAGGGCTGGGACTGGCTGCTGTAGCCCACAGCTCTGGCTTTCTAATTGAGGCGAAGCCCCTGAGAGGCAGGGCCCACAGACATCCAGAAAGGGTGACATTCCCACTCGCCCTCCTAGTGTGCCTCCTGCTCCCAAAGGCCTGTTCCCTGGGCTGTAGGCCCATCCCCCACAGACCTGCCAGACCCATCCCGAGACTCGGGACTCAGGCAGCGAGGACAGCAGCCCCCATAAGCTCAAGCATGTGCTGAGAGGCTGTCAGCTGCAGGATCGGGGCGGCGGCAGGGGTCGGGCCCTAGCCCCTGCCTGGCCCATCGCCAGTCTCTGGGGCTGCTGGGCTCCAGCCTAGCGGCCCTTCGGCCCAAGCACAGTGCTGAGAAGGGTCCCCACCCCAGGGAGCAGGCTTTGGGAGCTGGGAAGTGCTGGGGAGATTTCTGCCCCCCTCCCCACCCCCTGCAGAAGTTCCAGAGGAGCACCAGGGTGGGGGCATACAGAGAGGCTGTGGGTCGGGCCCCAGTTTCTGGGGTTTCTCAGAAGCCCCAACTGTCTGGGCAAAGACCTGAAGACGCAGCCGCAGCCTAACCCAGGGTCTGTCTTCACGGACACCACCAATGTCAGGAAATGGATTCCAGGAGGGGCTCCCCCCAGCGCTTCCTCCCCTGGCATCCCCCTGCCTTTACCGTGCCTCCCCCATGGGCCCGTTCTTGAGCCTTCCTCTACTGGCCCCCTCCCCCACCTGATGCCAGTGTTGTTCCTTCTGCCCAGATGGCACTTTCTCCTCCTAGCCTGCCAGCCCCCCTCACTCTTCAGCTCTTGGCTGAGTTATCACCTCCTTCTAGGAGGTCTCCTCAGATGCCCCAGACCAGGCCAGCTCTGACAGTGCCATGCATGCCCCCGGGAGTGTTTCTACCTCACAGGTAAGGAGTTACGTGCTCAATCTCTTTCTTCGTGCATAGCACAAACTTTGAATCCATCCCCAGGGCCTCTCACAGAGCCCCGTGCAGGGTAGATGCTCAGCAAATGGGAACTCCTCCCATTAGGACCCACCTGTAGGCAGGGCAGGCCTAGCTCAATGCTGGAAACATCCTTCTGACCCTTTGGGCTAAATTGTGGGTGAGGGGACTTGAGCTGGGGTCACAGACCACAGGACGTGGCCAGCCCTGCCCTCCCTGTGTATGCCACTCACCGATGCCAGACACGGCACCCCAGGCCACGGCCATGGCCAAGTGTGCCATCTTGGGCCCAACGCCCGGCAGTGCCACCAGCTCTGCCACAGAAGCTGGGATGTCCCCGCCATAGCGCTGCTGCAGGATGGCACTGGTCTGCTTGATGTACTTGACCTTGCTCTGAAAGACGGAGGGGGGTGGTCAGCCCTGGAGGTGGAGGGTGTAGCCCTACTTGGGAGGATGAGTCCTGAGGGAGACCCACAGGCATCCAGAGCTGCCTGTCACCTGCCCTAGACACACTCAGAGGCACCTGTTTGTCCCTGTCCCCCCAAGAGGTGGGAATGAGCCAAGGGCAGCAGGGAGACTGAGGGAGGCCCAATGCAGGCCTGGACCAGTGACATGTGTGTGGGGTCTAGCTCAGGTCCCCTGCCCCATCACTCCCCCAGAGGCCAGGTGGGCTAGACAGGGCCAGCCATGCCAGGAGCTGGGCTCAGCAGCACCTGGACCTTCAGGAAGGAAGGCTGGAGCCTGGGGCTCCCCCGCCAGCCGCCAGGCCAGCTGGGTGGCTCCCATTCTGTGCCTGAGTAGAGAGGACTATTTAAAACCCATTTGACAAACTACAGCCCACGCCAATGCCAAGGGGAAGCAGCCCCACCCGCCCAGCTGCCTTCAACAGAGCCGCCCACTTGCCACCAGTGCTCTAGGGCCTGTTGGGGCTCCAGAGGGAAGGGGGTGACGCACTCCAGGGAGGCTTGGAGTAAACAAAGGGAAAGGCGGGTGGGCAGCCTCAGGGAGGAAGGGAAGCGCCAGTCAGCTGGGTGGGGAGGTGGAGGAAGGAAGGGGTGGGCTGCAAACAGGAAAGGCCAAGGAGGGAGGCCCCATAGCCCTGACCCCATTTGCTGGTCAGACGGGCAGGGGGCTCCACTGCGAACTCACATCCAGGTCCCTTTGGCCTCAGATGCCCCACCTGGCCTCCTGAACCCCCACAGCCTCTCCTCGGCCTCCTGACATCTTTCCCAGGCCTGTGGGCTCACCCTCCAGAAGCCTACGGGGTAGATGAGCGTGCCCAGCGTGCTGTCATCTGTCTGCAGGATGCTGTCCACTGTGAGGCCCCGAGCGCGCAGCCGCTGCATGGCACCTGCTGTTACCTGGTCTTTGGTTTGGCTGGAGAGCATCAGTGACAGCAGCACCTGGTACCTCTGCACCTGTTTGCACGGTGACAGGGACCAGGGTAGTGGCAGGTCCTGGGTGCTCACTGTGCGTCGGGCCCCCGCCAAACCCTTTACCACCTCCACCTGTTACCCTGGCCAACGTGTGGGACATCAGCCTCCCACCCACTCTGGCCAACGGACTGTGTGAGCAGTCTGGCCTGGGCCTGTTTTGTTTTCACGTATATAACATGGGGACAATAACAGTGCCTGCCCCCCAAAGCTTAATGGGAGGCTTAAATAAACGATCACAACACTTACAATCAGACCTGGTGCTCGACAGCCAGTGCCTGCTACTGTGATTGCTGTTGCCTTGTGGAGAATCCTACCCATCTCACACACAAGCAAACAGAAGCCCCGAGGAGGTCGTGCACCCAGGTCACTGGTAGTGGAGTTGGGATTAGAATCAAGCTGGTCTAAGGACCAAGCTCCAAGACAGTGAGGTGTAAGGAACTTTTTTTCTCTCAACAAACATTACGAACTCCCCTGGTAGGTCAGGACTGTGCTGGTGGAAGACAGAGCATGAAGCCCCAAGACACAGGCAGTCCTGACCTGCCGAGTGGCCGCCGTGAAGCAGGTGATGCTGCCCTGCGCTCTGGGACCCAGGTGCTGTCCCCTCGAGGTGCCGCCTGCCGGTGAGGGTGCCAGTCAAGAGCTGCCAGGGTCAGGCTGTGCCCTGACAGAGGAAGCAAGTGTCTTGTCCAGAAGGCAGTCACCAGGCAGATAGGGCGCCTACCTTTGGGGGTGCGCTGGGGTCATAGCAGTGCTCAGCCCCCAGCTGGTCCACAGGCGCGTCCTTCCCACTCCTCATGGTGCGGATGTTCACCAGCTGCTGCTGCCAGTCTGGGGGTTCCCAGCCTGGTGCCTCTGGGGGTTTAGCGCCTTCTCCTTTCTCATGATCTGAGGCTTCATAGGTGACACTCAGTTTCTGTGTCTTCTGCTGACGCTTTGCGGGGCTGTGGCTTTTCTTTCCTTCTGCAAAAAAGTGCCATTCAGCAGGGGCCCCAGGTGAGGGTGGGCGTGGGTGCTGTCCCGCCTGCTACCACCCATCATCATTCATTCAACGACCATCCATCATCTACCGCAGCTGGGGCTGCTCTGGCCTCTGCAGCGCGTGCTCTGGGGCAGGTCAGCTTTCCCCATGCCACTGCCCTCCTGACCAAGTTTGCGTTAGGACAGGACGACTCTACCCACAGCCTCCACCATGGTGCCCCTCCAATCTCATTTCCACATGGGCCCAGAGAGACATTCCTAAGGCCCAAATCAGACTGTGTCATTTCCGTTTAAAACTGCTCATTGATTTTTCCTTGTACTCATGGCAAACTTCAAACTCCATCCCAGCATCAAGGGTCCTCCCTACCTAGCTGGTATTGTTACCTACTTACTCCCCCTGCCCCATTTCCTTCTGCCATGCGTCTGTCATAGTGGATCTCCTTGTCCGGACTACCCCTAAGTTCACTGGGTGCCTAGGAGAATCCCCCTCTGGCTGCCCTGTTCAGGGGCCCTGTGGGTCTCGCTCACCCCCCTCACCCCCCCCGCCCCAGACCTGTACACACTAGGTCCTTAATGCCTGCAGAATAAACAGAACGAAGACAACGCCCTTTCCCGTTTCCTCTCAGAGGCACCCTCCAGCAGGGGAAGAGGACTTCTGGCTGGGCGTGTCCTCGGCACCTGGTCTCTCTGAGAGAGAAGCAGCCAGGACAAACGAGGCTGGTGTGCCCACAGAAAGCCCGGCGCAAGTGGGGTATCCCCGGACAGGCTACCGGGACGCGGAGAACTTTCTTGTTCAGGACGAGGGTGGGGGAGGTGCGAGCGCCCGGAACTCAGTCCCTGTGGACCCCTGCCCCTGCCCCTGCGTCCTGGGAACAGGGAGCAGGGTGGGAGTCAGAGCCCCACGTGGGGGCGACTCGGAATCCCAGCCCCCGGCCCCTTGCAGGCTTCTTCCCTCGTCTCTCTCCCCATGCCCCGGTCCGAGTGCCGGGCTACCTGCAGCTGCCTCTCCCCTCCGGAGCGGCGCCTCGTCCCCACCCCCCCGCGGCCCGGTCCCCGGGTCCCGGCTCCGGCTCCGGGTCACCATCCTCACGCCCGCCATGCTCATGCCAGAGTCCTGCGCACTACACATCCCGGCGGCCCCCGCGGCCCAGTCACGTGACTCGACTCTTGCCCCGCCTTTCCGCCGAGAGCGGCCGGGAACTACGACTCCCAGGAAGCTCGGCGGCGGCGCTCGGCCCCCCCTGTCCGCTGCCGGAAGTGCGGACCAAGCTTCCGGCGGCGGCTCGGGGGTTGGGGGGCCGGGGTAGCGCTCCCTTCTCCGCGCCGGGACGACCCGGCGCGCGGCCGGCGCGGCGTGGGGTGAGTGGCTCGCGGGCCCCCGACCGCCGACGCCGGCCCGGTCCACCGTGTGGCCCGGCCGCGATGGGGCAGGGGGCGGCGGCCGCGCCGGGGAGGGGGAGGTGCTGCTCGGCGCAGAGGCGGCGGGGGCGGACCCCGCAGTGTCACGGCTCCGGCCTTCGGCCTGCAGCCGCTCGAGCAGTCCTGGGTTTTAAGACGGAGCGGGTGCGAGGGGCCCCCTGCTTCCGGCGTCCGCGACAGGCCTCCCCCAAGTCGGGGAGGAGAGGGAGGGCGAGCGTCGGAGCCCCAGCCTGCGGTTCCCCTCCCTCACCCGGTGCCCGCTGCTGGCCGGGACCGCCAGGCTGTGCTTGAGGTCCTCCCGGGAGCTGTGGGAGGGTCGTGCCCACCCGAGACCTAGGCTTCGCGGGTGGAAGGCCGGAGGTCAGCAGCGGGGCAGGTGCGGGGAGCTGCCCTGAGCTCTCCGCCTGTATTCTCGGCGCAGAAGCGGCCTCTGCTGCATCCCTGCCCACCATGGCCAAGCCAACAAGCAAAGATTCAGGCTTGAAGGAGAAGTTCAGGATTCTCTTGGGACTGGGAACCCCGAGGCCAAACCCCAGGTCTGCAGAGGGCAAACAGACGGAGTTTATCATCACCGCGGACATCCTGAGAGTGAGTGAGCTGCCCTGTCTGCCCTGCTAGGCTGTTGGGAGGTGCAGGGCAGGCTGGGTTCCGTCTGTCACCAGGTTCTGTGGGAAGTGGGACTGCTGTCCCCAGTGCTCTGGAAGCCTGTACATCATTCCTTCAGAGGTGCAGGAAGTCAGGACCTTGGGGACTGCGGCTAGCACACTTGAGGTAGTACTAGGATGTCCGTGCTGGAGAACCTACTTCACTAGCCACGGCTAAAACGCCGTGCTTGGTTTCCACGGGTGATTAGGGTTGTAGCCAAGTGTTAACCTGGTAATTTGTGAGTTCCTGGAATGAGCGGGTTTTTGTTTTCTGGTGTGTATTTGAATCCCCCTACCACATCCTGGCACCATGTTTTTTATTTATTTATTTTTTTTTAAAAAGATTTTATTTATTTATTTGAGAGAGAGAGAATGAGAGAGAGCGAGTACATGAGAGGGGGAGGGTCAGAGGAAGAAGCAGACTCCCTGCTGAGCAGGGAGCCCCATGCGGGACTCGATCCAGGGACTCCCAGATCATGACCTGAGCCGAAGGCAGTCGCTTAACCAACTGAGCCACCCAGGCGCCCCCATGTTTTTTTTTTTTAAAGATTTTATTTACTTATTTGACAGAGACACAGCGAGAGAGGGAACACAAGCAGAGGGAGTGGGAGAGGGAGAAGCAGGCTTCCTGCAGAGCAGGGAGCCCGATGTGGGGCTCGATCCCAGGACCCTGGGATCATGACCTGAGCCGAAGGCAGACGCTTAACCAACTGAGCCACCTAGGCGCCCCCGGCACCGTGTTTTATAAATGCTGAGTTTCTGCACTTGTGAGGTTTCCCATTCAGAAACAACCAAAATGTTTGTCCGGTGGTGAACAGATAAACAAAATGTGATGTCATTCGTACAATGGAGTATTACTTGGCAAAAAAAGGCATGCGGTATTGACACATGCCGTAATGTGGATGAACACTGAAAACATGCTAAGTGGAAGAAGCCAGACACAAAGGCCCCCACATAACGTGTGATTCCATTTCTATGAAATGTCCAGAATAGGTGAATCCTTAGAGATGGAAAGTCGATCAGCATGTGTCGGGGCCTGAGGGGTGGGAGGTGACTGCTAATGGGTGTGAAGTTGTACTTTTAGGGGATGAAAATATTCGGGAGTCAGTGGAGGTGGTTGCAAGCCTCGTGAACATACCAAAAGCTAAGTTGTACAGTTTTAAATTGTTCAAACAGCTAATTTTGGTATGTGAATTTTATCTCAACAAAATGAAATGTCATGAAAAAGAGAAGTAGTCTGTTCTCACTCCTTTGAAACAGAGTAGTAAATTCTCGTGGTCCCCGATTTCAGAAAGAGCCGGGCCAGGTCTCCAGCGTGGGAATTCTCGGGGTGGTCTGTGACGACTGGCGGTTAAGGAGACCTGTTGCCTGAGCGCTGGCCCCTTTGCTTCTTTCCTCTCTTGCCAGGAACTGAGCGTTGAATGTGGTATCAACAATCGCATCCGGGTGATAGGGCAGATCTGCGAAGTTGCAAAAACGAAGAAATTTGAAGAGGTAGGTCTGCCTCAGTTGGCTGCTGTTGAGAAGTCTGATTTGGCTCTTTCTAGGAGCAGGGTTGACCGCTGACTGCACCCTTTTAGGGGAGCTTCTGGAAACGCTCTGAGCATAACCCTTAGAGGTCACTCACACATGGAGGTGGGGAGCACAGGCAATAAGGTTTTTCCGGCAGTTCCGAGAAAGGCTTTAGTAGTGACTTGCATAAACGCATGCTTACTTGGTTTTTCGTATCCCAAGGAAGGTAAGGGAACATCAGGAAACCGTGTGACTCAAGGCATGCCATTTCCGGTGTCTTTTTGGGAGAGGTGTCTAGTTGGTGGCATTGAGCAACCTCACAGATATAAGCCTATTTATTTCGGGCAAATTTTTGCAGGCTCTCTCCGGGCATCCCGAGGACAGACTGGGAAGTTGTCATGAGAGCACCTCAAGGGCTCTGCTGTAGCTTGGCCCAGAGATTATATGGGCAACTTGGGAGGAGACGTGGACCAAGCAGATTGGGATTTGCTAAGGGGGAGGGGAGAGCAACCACGACATCCACAGGTCATCTGAAACATGCAGGCTTTACGTTACTGAGGATAAATGTGAACATAGGCTTTTGCGTCCATGAAGTTGGCTGCATAGGTATTTGGGGGGGGGGGGCTGTGACTGAATAGATAACCCTGAGAGGCTGGCAGAGTCCCCCGGGTCGGGATCTGCGTCTTGTTGTGGCTTAGGCTTTGTCACTAGGAGTGTTGTGCATAGGACAAAGGAGGTGAAAGTTCCATAGTATCCTGAAACGGTCAGGGTGTGGGTCAGACAACATCTAAAGGATGTTTTAGTCCCCTCCTAAGAGAAGGGAGCCCAGGAAAGTTTGAGTGGTCTGAAAACCCTGATTGAAGGGAGCACGGGATGGTTAATGTGGGAGAGAAGGTGACAAGAGAGATTTATTCTGGGTAGCTGCAGGGAACAGGACCCAGGTACCCTGGGAGGCAGATTCCAGAAGCCCACAGCGTTCTCGGCAGCACAGGCTTGGCAGGCGTGTGGTACAGAGTGGCCCTCAGCTGGTACAGAGAGGCCAGGGGAATGGGATTTCTGGGTCAGGCTGCAGACCCAGGCCCGCCTGGTTCTGAGACTCTTTCACTGGCTTTCTTCACTGGAGTCTGAGCATGCTCTAAAGGGGGGACTCCTGGCCGATCCCTGGGGGCACCGGGACAGCTCCCCTGGCCTACTGCTCTCCTCCCTCCCCCCACCCCAGGCTGTGGCCAGGACTTGGCGGGTTTGAAGTAGCTTGCAGCCGTTCCCCTCTGTAGGCTCCAGCTCACGTGTGCTGTGACAGGTGCATGACATGTGGGCTTTAGGGGAGTGAGTTCTAAGTCAGAAGAACTGTTCTCCATCCTTCCCTCATGGTACTGAGCCTTGAGTGGAGGGGCCAGCACCCCCTAACCGTTGTCCCTCTTTGCTGGCGGCAGCATGCAGTAGAGGCGCTGTGGAAGGCCGTGGCGGACCTGCTGCACCCGGAGCGGCCCCCGGAGGCCCGGCACGCGGTGCTGGCTCTGCTGAAGGCCATAGTGCAGGGGCAGGTAACGGGCAGCGGGTCTGTGTGCAGGTGGAGCTGGCCTGGGTGGGGGGGGGGTGACGTCGGGCGGCCACGGACTGCTCCCGCTGTGCCATGCGTGGACTCTGGTCTTTGGGGAGGGCATCTGGTGCCAGGTCTCTGCAGCTCGACTGCCTGAGCGAGCACCCTAGCCTCTCGAACCCGGGGGACCCCGGGCAAGTCACTGTAGTAGCCTCCACCTCCTCTCCCTTAGAATGGGGATGGCTGTTTTTCCTGCCTCCTCTGGAATGTTTTGGGGTGTCGATGAGGCTGTTCATGCCAAATGATGGGGATGTGCCCACCATGAGAGACGGGTGGCCTCTGGATGCCCTCATGCCCCCGGCCTGGGCCTGGGCCTCTGTCCATGGCTCACTGTGCTCCGGGCTGTGGCCATGCTGCTCTGAGCCTCTCCTAGAACCGCAGGCGGCCTCTGCACTCCTGCCTGGAAGGCTCCCTTCCGTCTGGTGCGTTTCCTCCAACCCTCCACACCCCTGCTGCGTGGAGAGGCCTGTCTCCTTGCAGAGTAGTCAGACCGTTTTTGTCACGTGCGGGCACAAGCACGTCTCTTCTTGGCCATGAGCCCCAGGAGGGCTGGAACTGCATTGTCCCCTGCTGTTCACCCACCGCTGTACCCAGAGCTTGCACACAGTAGGCGCTGTGCGCACGAGTGCACATGCACGTGCGCACGCGTACACACGCACACACACATTGCACACAGGTGCTGTACACACGAGTGCACATGCACGCGCGCGTGTACACACACACACACACACTTTATCTGGAGCCGCTCCGATGTGCCCAGTTTGTTGTTTACAGCCAGTGCCTGTGGGAAGGAGAAGGGGTCCCAGGGTCGGGAGTCCTAGAGCCCCCTGTACTTGGACTGTGTATGGCTGTGTGGGAAACCCCACTGGCGGGGGTCCTGGCAGGACTGCTGAGCATGTGCTTCTATCTTCAGGGGGACCGCTTGGGCGTTCTCAGGGCCCTCTTCTTTAAGGTCATCAAGGATTACCCCTCTAATGAAGACCTCCACGAGAGACTGGAAGTGTTCAAGGCCCTCACGGACAATGGGAGACACATCACCTACTTGGAAGAAGAACTGGGTGGGTGCCACAGTGGCTGTGGGGTTTCTCTGGCTTGGGGGATCCCGTTGAACCCTGGATGCCAGAAGGCTGCTGAGGTGCAGAGGGGGTGCTGCAGTTTACAAGGATGGCCTGCAGAGGGCGCGGCACCACGAGGTTCTGCTTGCCCAGGTGCGGCCTGGAGTAGCCAACGGTCTCCTGGGGAGCTTGTTAGAGATGGACAGTCCTGGGCTTCTCTCCAGACCTGCTGGCTCAGAGTCCCTGGGGAGTGAGGCCTACTAGGTGGGCAGGAGGTGGTCCGAGTTCTGTTGTAGGGAGAGTGTGCTGCTGACCCAGGCGTCAGCCTGTATTTTATCCAGGGTACCCTGAGGTTTCTGGGGGCTGGGGCCGCCTCTTTGTGTTTTCTTGGGTCTCTCTGTGCCCTGGGCCTGACCTCCTAGCCCTCCCCTTGGCTGGCCTTCCTCTCTGTTGTCCTGATGGGGTGACGTTTCTGTGGGTCTTGAGGTTTCATGTCACCGCTGTGAGGAGAAGAGGAAAGAGGAGGAAGTCAGTCTGACTGGGGCCCAGAGATGGGCTTCAGCTGTCTCCAGGACAGGTGCTGACTGGCGGCCATGCTCAGGTTTTCTAAGGTGATTTGGCCAGTGGCCAAGCGTGGCTTTTGTCCCTGTTGAGAGAGTCTCAGGGAGGGGTAGAGGGCCAGGAATCTGCCTCCTAGACACGTGCCCAGCGATGCTCGCACAGCCCAGCCTCGGGGGCCCGGGCTCTGAGCATCCAACACACAAACCCCGCTACTGCCTCTCAACCTGGACCCCCTCAGTGCCTCCTGGGGGCTGGTAAATTTCAGAGTCCGAGCTGACAGTCCGAGCCTCCGTCGGCCTGCACATGGCCTGCTATTGCATGGGGGCAGGTGACGTGGCTGACAGCAGCGGAAGGGACCGGGGTGTTTTCCTGGGGAGGAGTTGAGTAGGCAGTACACCGCCCTTCTCTTCTTCTTCCTCAGCTGGGTTTGTCCTGCAGTGGATGGACGTCGGCCTGTCCTCAGAATTCCTGCTGGTACTTGTGAACTTGGTTAAATTCAACAGCTGCTACCTGGATGAATACATTGCATCAATGGTCCAGTAAGAAGAGTTCCAATAACGTCCTTCTGATCATAGTCCTGCTGCCTTGTGCGCTGCGTGTAGCTCTGCAGTGTGACTAAAGCTGCTGGAATCAGCAAACAGTCGGAGATGCTGGGAGCAGCGTAGCCGCCCTTTGCTTAACATTTATAGAACGATAGCATTTTCTCTTTACTAGACAAGTTACGTTAGCTGAAGTTTCTTTTTTTTTTAAAGATTTTATTTATTTATCAGAGAGAGAGAGAGAGAGAGAGGCAGGCGGAGGGAGAAGCAGGCTCCTTGCTGAGCAAGGAGCCCGATGTGGGACTCAATCCCAGGACCCTGGGATCATGACCTGAGCCGAAGGCAGAGGCTTAACCGACTGAGCCACCCAGGTGTCCCTAGCCGAGGTTTCTGTATCGTCGTTTTTGTTGTTGTTTGTTCACGTACTCTGGGAGCCGTGAGGGCAGGGGCTGGGTCTTGCTGGTGCTTTCCAGCCAGCGCTGAGCAGTGGTTGGCCCAGGGCAGGCACCTGCTTGTCTGTGGGTGAGTGGAGCCGTCAGGGGGTCGAGTTCTTGATTTAACTGACTTGTAGAGTCACCATAAGGTGAGACGGAGCCATGCAGTCTCTTGAGAAACATATCCTTCTGCTGACTTTTCGCTTCCTCTAACAGTATGATCTGCCTGCTGTGTGTCCAGACCGTGTCATCCGTGGACATAGAGGTTAGTAGCTGGTCCTCCCCAGGGTTGGTTCCTCTCACCCTCCTTCTGGGCGGGCCGGGTGGCGGAGTGCTTGAAACCCCAGCTCTGGGGTCAAGCCCTGCACTGCCCCTCACTGGTTGTGTGGCCCTGGGCTAGCTGCTTGGCCTCTCTGGTACTCAGGACTCTGCAGTAAGGGTGGTTGGTTGGATGACCTCCGTCGTGGGGTCATAGTTTTCAGGATGGGGTGACCTACAGTGACGGTGATGCTCACTCACTCTTGCTGTTCTAAGGAAGGCTGCTTTGGCAGTGGGGAGGGGCGGCAGTCACCAACCAAAGGAGGGTGGGCAGGAGGCTAGGGGGTCACCTCCCTGCGGGCGGGAGGCAGGGCAGGGCCGGCATGACCCCTATCCCCCCTCCCCAGGTCTCCCTGCAGGTGCTGGATGCCGTGGTCTGTTACAACTGCCTGCCGGCTGAGAGCCTCCCCTTGTTCATCGTCACCCTCTGCCGTACCATCAACGTCAAGGAGCTCTGTGAGCCTTGCTGGAAGGTGGGGGTCTGAACTGTTGTTCTGGAGAGTTCTTCCCTGGATGAAGTTAAAAGTCAGGCACGTGGATAGGACAGGGGCCATGCTGTGTTCAGGGAATGGCCATCTGCCCTGTTGAGGGGAATCCAGTAACATTTTCCCAGGGGGCTGAGCTGAGGCCAGGGTTTTAGCAGCATTTTGAAAATTCTACAGCCTCTGTGTTTGGGAGGAGGTGGTGGAGAAGCGGCTGGACGCAGAGCGCTTCAGAGCGGTGGCTGTGCGAGGCTGGCCCCCGGGGCCTGGGGCTTCTTTCTGCCCATCTCTGACGGCGGTGCATTCTGTTTCCCAGCTGATGCGTAACCTCCTGGGCACCCATCTGGGCCACAGTGCCATCTACAACATGTGTCGTATCATGGAGGACAGGCGAGTGTGCGCCAGGCCTGGGGCGGACCCGGGCGGGCCAGGTGGCTTGGGTCAGCTGCCACAAAGCCTTCTCCAGGGGGCTGAGAGCTTTCCTGTCCCTTTGAGGTGGCTGCTTCGGAAGCTTGCGCTAGAGTTAGAGCTTACATCCCGTGTGCCTGCCCTGTAAGAGCAGGGAGCTTGGGGAGGCTACATGGGCTCCCCTGACACGTGGTCTTCCTGCGGATTGTTCCAGAGCCTACATGGAAGATGCCCCGCTGCTGAGAGGGGCTGTGTTCTTTGTGGGCATGGCTCTCTGGGGAGCACACCGACTCTACTCCCTCAAGAACTCCCCGACGTCCGTGCTGCCATCGTTTTATGAGGTGACTGGGTTTGTGCACCATAGTAGCTGGGTGGGGCGGGGGGAGGCGCAGCTTTTGGTCACTTGCTTTGCATCTTGGAGACCATGAAGTTTAGGACTCTTGGAAGGATTTATATTATTTTTATAAAGATTTTATTTATTTGACAGAGACAGGGAACACAAGCAGGGGGAGTGGGAGAGAGAAAAGCAGGCTTCCCAGAGCAGGGAGCCTGATGCGGGGCTCGATCCCAGGACCCTGAGACCATGACCCGAGCCAAAGGCAGACGCTCCACGACTGAGCCCCCCAGGCACCCAGGAGGGTTTTATTTTATTTATTTATTTATTTGTTTTTATTTATTATTATTTTTTTAAAGATTTTATTTGTTTATTTGATGGAGAGTGACAGAGCGAGAGCAGGAACACAAGCGGGGGGAGTGGGAGAGGGAGAAGCAGGCTCCCCGCGGAGCAGGGAGCCCGATGCGGGGCTCGATCCCAGGACCCTGGGATCCTGACCTGAGCCGAAGGCAGATGCTTAACAACTGAGCCACCCAGGAGCCCCAAGGGTTTTATTTTTAAGTAAGGTTCTGTCTTACGGGTTTCACCTCGTGTAGATCAGCATCAGAACTGCTTCAGACTCCCCGAGGTGGCGGTTTTATCTCGGCAAGCACTGGTCTTGCTCTTGCTCTAGAGAGAGGCCCGAGATGTAGCTTCTGTGTCCGTGGTGCCCGCTGGCGTTCCGGGCACTTGCTGTACACGTTCTAACGCGTGGGCAGGGCGCCCTGTGAGCCGGGCCCGGGTGCCCGGTGCTGCACAGTGTCCCGAGCCTCGTCCCTCCTGCCGCGACCCACTTCTCGGGCGGTGGAGGGCGTGGTCTTTGCCCTCAGTTTGCAGGGGTAGCACTCTGGGTCTCTAGGCTGGTGAGCCAGTGGCCCAGGATCGGCAGCGAGTGGTCTGGCTGAGTCCAGCCCTTTGGAGCCGGGGTAGAAAGACTGTTTCTGGGCTCCTGAGAGACTTCTTCTGTGGCCCGTGAGAGACGTGTGGGGAGCAGGTCTGGGAGAGGTGGTCCTGAGGGCCATGGGATGGGGGGCTTGCCGGGCAGGAGCGGGAAGCGGCTGACCACTGTGTGTTCCCTGGGTCTCTTGTTCCAGGCCATGACCTGTCCAAACGAGGTGGTGTCCTACGAAATCGTCCTCTCTATAACCAGACTCATCAAGAAGTACCGGAGGGAGCTCCAGGCTGTGGCGTGGGACATCCTGCTGAACATCATGGAGCGCCTGCTTCAGCAGCTCCAGGTGAGGCGGCCAGAAGGCCGTGGGCACCGGGGGATGGGGGGGACTGGGATGGTGGGCTGGTAGGCCATGGGGCCCTTGCTGGGGCGGCTGGGGGCCTGCGGCTCATCTCCCGATGAGGAGCGCTCTCCCTCTGTGCCTGCCCCGCCACGTGCTCGGACAGCTCCTTGCACTCTCACCTGCTGAAGATGCTGGCTTTGACGCTGCTCCGTGCTTTGGGAACGCAGGTGGGCGAGGGGTGGGTCTGGTGTCACTTGAGGCCAGAAGGGTAATGGGATGGCTCCCACTTTGCCGCAACTTTGGCTGAAGTACTAGCGGGGCGGGGAGGGGAGGACATGGTGCAGCGCGGGGACTGCAGTGTCTAGCATGGGCTTGGGGCGGGGGTCTCCCCAGGGGCCTCCCTGGGGAGCGGGGCAGGGTCTCCCCCGGGGGCGGGGTGGGGGCGGGGCCCAGGGACCGGGGCCCGTGCTTGGGGATGGGCGTGGCCAGGCTAGTGGACTGAGGACTGGACTGTCGTTCCTCAGGGTCTGGCTGCTGGACCGACCGCTGTCACCCACCAGCTAGCCAGGCCCTGCTTCACTCTGGAGTGGCAGGTTGGGAGGCCACAGCCCTGGGGCCTCTAGGAGGAGATGTTTGAGCCTTAGGGACATGTGAACATCCTCGGAGTCGATCTCTTTAAGGCCTGCTGGATGGGCAAAGCAGGGCTCCCTGGGGCCCTCACTTCCCAAATGAGCGAGAAGGGCCCGGCTGCCTCGTGTCCCAGCGGGAAGGCCTGAGGGGTGTCTGCATGCAGCTCGCTGGAGCTCAGGACTCAGGCCGAGTCCTTGAGGGGAGCTGAAGTCACCCCTCTGTGACTGCACTTTTGTGTTGCAGAGCCTGGACAGCCCGGAGCTCAGAGCCATCGTCCACGACCTGCTGACCACAGTGGAAGAGCTGTGTGACCAGAACGAGTTCCACGGCTCTCAGGAGAGATACTTTGAGCTCGTTGAGCGATGCGCAGACCAGAGGCCTGTAAGATCACTTCTCCCCCAACTTGGCGGGGCCTTTGGTGCTCGCGCAAGAGGGTGGTTGAGGGTTGGCTGCTGGGGGAGCGGTGGGACGCCGCGGCTGAAATGGCTCTGTGTGAGTTTGAATTGAAGGGCTGGCCGGCAGGCTCCTGCTTTCCCGGGAAGTCTGCTAGGGCGTCAGCGGGTTGACTGCGTGTGGGACGGTCAGACAGGCGCTAGCTGAACCGTCGGCTTCCTCCCACCTGTGCGGAGGAAGGTGCTGGCTGGCTCCGTGGAGACTTGTTGCTTGGTGCGTCTGCACACCAGGCAGCAGGAAGCGCTCGTGCCAGAAACCCACAGCCTGATGCCAAGGCTCTTGTGTGGGTCTTTAAGTGAATTCTCACCGCTATTAGCGCCTTTGTTGTGTGGATTGCCCACCTGGGGAAGTGGCTGGCATTTGTAAGCAGAACTGCCCCCCCCCCCGGGGGGGGGGGGGTCAGCAGCCCGGCCGGCCATGAGTGTAGGAAAACCTCCTCGGAGCAGAGCAGCTCATTAACGCCAGGCTTTTTCTTCCACAGGAGTCCTCCCTCTTAAACTTAATAACCTACAGGGCGCAGTCAATCCATCCGGCGAAGGACGGCTGGATTCACAACCTGCAGTTGCTGATGGAGAGATTCTTCAGGTAGGGAGCCTTCGGGGGCCAGCCTGCCCCCTGGAGCCCAGGCTTGGTCTGGTCAGGGTTTTCCTTTCTCATTCTTGGAAGGAGTGGTAGCAGGTTGGTCTTCCGGTAGGATAGAGTCCTCTGAGGCACCTGCGTGTGCTTGCTCCTGTGGAGTGGTCGTCTAGAAAGATGCTGCTCTGGGGGCTGAGCGCTCTGTCCCGTCGCCCCGTGTTTGGTCTGGATGTTCACAAGCCAGGCCCCATGAGGGCGGAGTCCTCAGTGGCTCTCCCCTGCCGCAGAGGCGTGTGGGCCTGGGGCGCAGGGTGCAGGGTGAGCTGGGGCCTGGTGCCCCCTACCCCGGCCCCAGCAGGTGTGCCCTGCCCCCAGGAATGAATCCCGCAGTGCCGTTCGCATCAAGGTGCTGGATGTCCTGTCCTTCGTGCTGCTCATCAACAGGCAGTTCTATGAGGTGCGAGTCCTGCTGGGGGGTGTGTGGGGGGGATGCCCTGGGGTCAGTGGGCTCGAGGGGTGGGGTCTCTGCGAGCCTCCTGGGTCTGCCCTGGACTTGGGGTCCAACAGGTGCCTTTCTGTGGCAGGCTCTCTTAACAGGCTTGGTTCACCCCCTGTTTGCGCACTTGGATGTTCATTCCTGCCTCCCGCCAGGCCTATGCTGGGCCTAGAGTCGCGGGGCTGCCCTCAGGGATCATGGGCCTGCTCGGGACCTAGAACAAAAGTTCTGAGCAGAGTCTCCTGTTAGGGAAGTTTTCTTTTCGTTTTTGTGCTCACACTCTCTAGTCCCAGCCCGACCACTGTGGTTCCATGTCTTGCCTTCCTCTCTACTGTTCGTTCTTTCCCTCCGGTCTGTCCTTTATTTGGTCTGTGGCTAGAGTGCATCCTTCAGACACGTTTGCATGCCCCTTGCTCGCATGCCCGTTCCCCTAGGAGCTGCACTTCAGGCGCTGTGTGGCTTCAGGGCAGCCTCACCAGCATTTCTGGTGTTCCCAGCACCGGTCTGCCCACTCCTTCCCTCTTAGCCTTCCTTTTTCCTGTATCTCTGTCCCTTGGAGTCCAGTTCAGTGATGCCTCTTCCAGGAAGCCCCTCTGGGTTCTCAGTTTCCTCATGTCAGGGTCGGTCTTGTCCTGCTCTCTGCTGCTGTGGTGCTTTGTACCTCCCTCTGAAAGCTGTCGTCACATTGCCCATCACAGCGGACCCTGTGATGTCAGGGACAGGGTCTTCCTACCCCAGGCGCACGCACATGGGGGCCCACCGCTGTGACATTGAATGGGCAGCAGCTAGCCAGGACACTCGGTGCATCGGGCCTGTGGGCCTGGGCCCCTGAGGGGCTGTGCAGAGCGCCCCTCAGGTGCTGCCACATCCCTGCCACACGTGACTCACCGCCCCCCCCCTCCCCCGGCTTGTGCTGCCCCAGGAGGAGCTGATCAGCTCAGTGGTCATCTCCCAGCTCTCCCACGTCCCCGAGGACAAAGACCCCCAAGTCCGGAAACTGGCCACCCAGTTGCTGGTGGACCTGGCCGAAGGCTGTCATACCCACCACTTCAACAGCCTGCTGGACATTGTGGAAAAGGTGAGGGCTGCTCGAGCCCGGGGCTCTGGGTACCTGGGCTGCCAGAGGGGCCCCAGTTTATGGCCAAGCCCCGCAGCAGCACTGGCCCCTGGACCTCCTGTCCCCATTCTCCGCAGAGCGATGGGCTGTGTCTCAGGCAGGGCTCCCCTCCCAGCAGGGATGTGGCCGGGCTGGCACTGGGGCGGGTCCTGGGAGACACCTGTGGCCGTGCCCCACGGGAGCTGGGCTGGGCACTGGGGCTTGGGCGCATTGTCCTTCTGCATAACTAGCGTGTTCTTCTCTTAACTGTGAAATACACGCTTTCTGAATGGTCCCTCAGGTGTGTAAAATGCAGCTTTTGAGAAATAAAGGAGAAAGTATTGGGTCTGACCAGTGCCGCTGGAGGGAGCCCCGAGCCAGGGAGCTGAATCCACATTTTCTCTCTAAAGGTGATTGCCCGCTCCCTTTCTCCACCCCCTGAGCTGGAGGAGAGAGATGTGGCGGCGTACTCAGCCTCCTTAGAGGATGTGAAGACCGCCGTCTTGGGGCTCCTGGTCATCCTTCAGGTGGGCCTCTGCTCTTCTGGGAGGGCGCGCCAACCAGGCGCCCCTTGGAATGCTGCTCTGCAGGGACACGTCTCTGGGGAGACCAGGGCAGTCCCTGGGGGTCGCAGATGGCAGCCCGGTGTGACCCGGACTCCTTGTCCCAGCATGGGGGCTCGTGAGGGCTGCAGGGCCAGTCTTTGCAGAGATGCCCCCAAGCTAGGGCTGCCCCCCCCCCCCCGCCAGCTCTCACCACCGCTGCCGAGGTGGGGAGGCCTGCTGTCCGTTTTGGCCCTGTGGTTGCGGGATGATTTTAGTAGCTTTGTTGAGAGATACAGTTCACGTACCAGAGAATTGATGCACTTCAAGCGTGTAATCCAGTGGATTTTCCAGTATCTCCACAGACTTGTGTGGCCATCGCTGCATCACTGCAACTTTAGAACGTCTTCTTTCCCCAGAAGGGACGCCACACCCATTAGCAGTCCCTCCCCATTCCCCCTCGGCACCCTGGCCCCTGGCAACCACCAGTTCATTGTGTGTCTTGTGGATCTTCCTGCTCCGGACGTTTCATAATGATGGACTTGTGCAGTGTGCGCTCTGAGTGTCTCAAGGCTCACCTGGCTGGTAGCAGGGCTCAGTGCTTTGCTCGGATGGCTCGTCGTCCCTCGTGTGGATTTGCCGTCTTTGCTTATCGGTTCCTGTGCTGACGGACACTGGGTGGCTCCACCTTTGGGCCACTGTGAATCCCACCACGGTGAACGTCCGTGCGCCAGTGTGTGGACATGGGTTTTCACTTCTCTTGGGTGCACGCCTGCGAGTGGACTTGCCGGCTCGGATGGCGACCCTGGGCGTAATCATTTGAGGAGCGGCCAGACTGTCTTCCACAGGGGCCGCTCCATCTCCGGGAGCAGTGCGCAAGGCTGCCCTTCCCCACGTCCTCCCCAGCACGCGGATCTTGTGCTTCTCTGGAGCGTAGCCGGGCCGCTATGCGTAAAGTGCTGCTCCCTGTGGTCTGGTCCGCATGCCCCTCGTGAGGAGGATGAGCACCTCCTCCGGTGCCTGTTGGCCATTTGTATGTCGTCTTTGGGGAAACGTCTGTTCGGATCTTCTCATTTTTTAACGGGATCATTTGTCTTTTTACTGAGTTGTGAGAGGACTTTGTGTGTCGTGGATGAGTTTGTTGTCAGGGGTTGGCGCTTGCCTCCCTGCACCGCGGCCGGCCTCCCGTGCTCCCAGGCCCGCCTGGGCCCCTTCACGCCCCCAGCCGGCCCCCGCCTGGGCTCTGCTGCTGGCCGCCAGGCCTGTCACTGACTCTCCGCGTCACAGTGTCACTCAAGCTCACAGGCCAGCATCAGTATTACGTAAAATGTTGTACTTGAACCACTGGCCTCAAATGCTTCTCTTTCACACAGTGTCTCCTAACGCTTACACGGGATGGTTATTTCCTGGTGCAGAAGTTTGAAGTGTTTGCAGAAAGCTGGCTGGCACCTCCGTGGCCTTCCGTCACCTCCGTGGCCTCCTGTCACGGGAACCCGGCCCCCTTTAGACCTCTGGTGGGTGAGGGAGTGCACTGGCCTGAGCGAGCCCAGACTCCTGCCTCTGAGAAGCTGGGAAGGTGGTCCGTTGCCCTCACTTGGAACTCCAGCCCTGCAGACCGGGGGCCACAGTACCACGCTGTTGGCTAGCTGAGGCAAAGTCCTGGGTCAGGCGGTTCTTGTTTAAAAAGTAATCTGCATCCGCGTGAAACACACAAGTAGCGTGAACATAGCGAAGACTTAGATTGCATTTGTCTTTCCTGCCAGAACAGGCAAGCCCGGCTGTAGCTGTCCCTGCGGTGCTTTCTGAATAGGCCTGAGCATTGTGTCCAACTCCCACTACCCCCTCTCTTTTTTTTGTTAATTTTTCTTGAACAAGAACACCAATGATCTATGTTTTAAGGCCCCGCTGCTCTCCTCAAGAGTACCACAAGCCATGGAGGGGTCGCTCTGGCTGCAGCTGGACCCCCAGCTCCTGGCCAGCCCATGCCACCCCGCGGCACCCCCCACGCCAAGGTCTTACCTGGCCTCTCCTGGGCTCACCTGTCAGGGAGGGGGCTCGCTGTGGGGATGACAGGCCTGGATCACGCCCTGGAGCCGATGGGGCCTCGCTCACCCCTGGTCTGTCCTGCTCTGCAGGTGGCAGGAGAATGTGCTTTTGGCTCACAGGTCCCCGTTGCACATGTTGCAGAGATTTATTAGTGGATTCCCTGCTGCTGACACAAACATGTTGTTTTTGATTTTTTGCCGTAACAGTGTGCACACGTGGGAGCGTCCACGGGATAAAGTCCCGGGAGCGGAGTTAGCAGCCTGAAGGCTTTGTGTGTTGTCCAGTCACTCCGGAGAGTTTGTCCTGTTCCTCTCCTCCTGGGCACCGGGGCGCTGGCTCCCTGGCTGTCTTTCAGCCTCCTGCCCTTGAAGTGACCGGCACGCTCTCTCTGCAGACCAAGCTGTACGCCTTGCCTGCCAGCCATGCGGTGCGTGTGTATGAGACGCTCGTCAGCCACATGGAGCTGCACTACAGGCACGACTATGCCCTGCCCATCGCAAGCAGCATCCGGCTGCAGGTATGACGGGGCTGGTGGCTGTCCGTGGCTCTGGGTGCCCCCACTGCCGCTCACGGCTGGCCATGGCCAGCTTCCTGGGGGCCTGGTAGTGCCCGCAGGGACCCCAGGCTGGGGAGGTGGCAGGGGGCCCAGGAGGGGTCTCCTGCAGACTGTTCCGTCCTCTGCACCGGCTGTGGCTGCAGCCTTGCCTGGACCTGCTGCCCTTCCCCTTGTCTGTGTCCGCGGGCCGGGCTGAGCCAGGCGGTGGCCCCGGGCGTGGGCGGAGATGGGATTCCATCGCTTTCAGGCGACAGCCCTGTCAGCCCTGGGGCCGCGGTCGGTTGGTGGTGGCAGCTCGCGGCTGCCATTGTAGATGTTGGCACCAGGCTGAGCGGAGGTCACTGGGACGGAAGTCTTGGTCCCTTCCAGAGCCTCTGCGCGGTGGGGCAGCCGTCCGTCATTTGTGCCGCGTGGTTAAGTGACCTGTCGTTCATTGGAGGATGTGCCGGTGGCCTGAGCACAGTTGTGTTTTCCGACACTCGGGGGTGCGGGGCGCTGCCCGGTCAGAGTGTGGGCCGTGCTGTCCCTGTGTCCTGGGGGCAGGCCCTGGGCGCTGTGGGAGGAGGCCAGGAATGGCCGTGTGGTACCACCCGCGCTGCTGCGAACGCGGAGCAGTTGGGATGTGTGTGCTGTTAGCGGGCATGGCCTTTCCCAGAGAGGCTGGCGTGTGAGTGGACGGGCCCGGCGTTGGCCTGGCGTTGGCCCTGCTTCGCTGGACCTCGCTTTCTCCCCACAGGCCTTCGACTTCCTGCTGTTGCTGAGGGCCGACTCGCTGCACCGCCTCGGCCTGCCCAGCAAGGATGGGGCCGTGAGGTTCAGCCCTTACTGTGTCTGCGACGCCATGTGCGTGTCAGCCGTGCCCCCAGCTCCAGGCCGGGGAGCTAGCCCTTCCCTGCCCCGGGGGTGCCCGTGGGTCTGAGGGACGTCCCGCAGCCAACCGATGGCAGTGTGGGGTGGCCGGGGCCCCGCGCCGGTTCCTACCTGCGGCCTCAGTGCTTATCCCGCCTGCTTCCACAGGGAGCCGGAGAGGGGCCCGGAGAAGAAGGCCAGTGGCCCCCTGTCGCCTCCCACCGGGCCGCCTGGCCCCGCGCCTGCAGGCCCCGCGGTGCGGCTCGGCTCTCTGCCCTACTCCCTGCTCTTCCGTGTCCTCCTGCAGTGCTTGAAGCAGGTGAGCCAGCCGGTCCCTCCGCCGCGCCGGGCACAGTTCCGGTCCTTGTGTCAGCCACGTCGGGGGTCCGCTGCTGGCGTGCGCGCTGCCGCCCCATGCCTATGGTGGGTCTGTAACCATCTGTAGCCGTGTGTGGCCCGTCATGTGGAGCTGGGCATGGAGCTGAGGACGTGTTCCCACCTCTGGGAGGTGGCTTTGGTGTAAGATGAAGGTGTGTAGAGGGATAACGAGTCATTGGATGACGTGCATCAGGTGGAGGCAGAGACGGGCTGTGTGCAATCAGGGGGGTGCAGTCACCTCTGGTTGGGGGCAGCTGGAAGGCCGAGTGAGGCCCTGAAAGGCAGGAGAGGTTCCAGGGGCAGGACAAGCAGAGCCTGGAGGTAGGGTAGGTGCCGGCAGAGACGTAGCTGGGGCCGCACCGCGGAGGGGCAGGGTGGAGGCCTGTTCCCGCACAGGGGCCGGCGAGAGAGGCCACGTGGTCAGTGGTGTGCCGCCACGGGGCTGGGCAGCCTGTGCTGGCCTAGGTCAGCCCTGGAGGGCCACATGCAGGGAAGCGGCTTCTTCTCGCCGGGGGCACCAGGCGTTGGCACCGAAGGGGGCTGTCGGGCACTTCCTGTGAGAGTTTCAAGGCCTCTGAGTCCCAGGCTCAATCTGGGGAAAGGCTTTCAGGACTCACAGCCATTGGTGTCACTTATGGGCTGTGGTCTCCCCCGATGAGGTGGGGAGGACTCACCAGGCAGGTTCTAGTGGGAGCCACAACCACGTCCTCCTCATTGCGGTGGCCCTCAGTGGATTTTGGTCCTGGAGCAGGTTCTTGGGCTTGTTCTTATTCAGGAACACGTGCTGCTTTTCTCTTGGAGTTAGGATACGGGCTTTTCTCTTGCTATGCATTCATGGTGCCCTGGATGGGTATCAGTGTCCTGGGCAGGCAGCCTGTGGGTCACCGGTAGGCACATGGGGAGGGTGGGGCAGGTGTGGGAAGTTCAGGGCCAGCTCAGGGCAGAGAGCCGCTACTGGCTGTGCCTGGGCCTCCCGCTCAGCCTGGCATCTGGAGGGTGCAGCTGATGTACAGCAGGGAACTTTCTCAGAGGAACACGTGCTCCTGTGGGGACAGAGGGGGTCCAGAGGCCTTGCAGCTGCCTGGCTGCACACACAGCTTGAGGCTCTGAGAGCTCGTCTTCCCCTGTAGGGCGCGACCGCCCCCTGAGCGGCCGCTCTTCCTGCAGGAGGCGGACTGGAAGGTGCTGAAGCTCGTGCTCAGCAAGCTGCCTGAGTCCCTGCGCTACAAGGTACTCATCTTCACGTCTCCGTGCAGCGTCGACCAGCTGTCTTCCGCCCTCTGCTCCGTGGTAATGCCGCCCCTCGCGGTGGGGCTACCTCTAGTGCCTTCCTGCCCTGCCCGCGAGGTCCTGGGAGGTCACGTGTGGACGCATGAGAGGGCAGTCCCGTTCAGACACAGATCCCTATCTGCAGTGCAGATCCTGCCCCTGAGGCCCCGTCCTCCCTTCCCTGCTCAGGGGGCAGGAAATCGGAGATCTCCGTGAAGGGCTTGAACTCACCATCTGAGTGTGCTGTCTTAACTCCTTTCCCCTCTCTTCCTCACCGGGGTTTCTGGGACACGTGCGCCCCGTCTCTTGTCTGTCCCTGGCCACTGGGTGTGGGCATGCTCCCACGTCTGAAAAGGCAGACCCTTGGCCAGAGAAGGATGTAGGAAGGGCTCCCCCTCCCCGGGCTCTTGGCCATCTAGCACTCGCCCTCTCCTCGCTGCCGGGCGTGCTGCCACCTGAGCCCTGGTCTTCAGCTTTCAGGTCCCAGAACCCTGGAGCGGCTTCGAGGCACCCCAGAAGGGTTCTCCAGAACTGACCTGCATCTGGCTGTGGTTCCCGTGCTGACGGCGCTGATCTCTTACCATAATTACTTGGACAAAACCAGACAGGTACCTGGTGGGAGAGGGACAGGCGAGCCTGCTCCGCAGGATGTTTGCGTCAGCCAGCCCGGCCGGACGTTTTCCGCATCACCCGGGGGGCCTGGGCCCTCTGCTGCCCTCCCACACGCGGCGGCATCTTTTCTTTCTATGGAGCGTTGCCTGGCTTCGGGACAAGCGCTGGGCCTGTGTTGAGAGGCTGGCAGCGGGGCCCAGGGCGCCTGACTTCCATCTGCCTGCGCTTCTGCCATCAGCGGGCACACAGCAGCTCCCTGATATCACGCTGCTGGGCACGTCCACCGTGTCCATTAGAGTCCCAATGCTTCTTGGTCAGCCGGCCGTCTTTGGTGAGAGAACAGAAGTCTTGGAGAGGTCGGCTAGTGCCCTCGGGGTCCCAGCCAGCAGGGAGAGGGGCCTGCGCTAGACTTGGGCTGCTCGGAGCCAACAGCAGCGATGTCTGGAGCTGGTGCCCCGCGCCCATCCGCTGCCCCGCCTCCGGGCACTCCTGTGCCGCTTGGCCTGGTTCTTCCTGGCCGCGCCCTGTTGGGCAGCTGTCCGCCTGGGCTGAAGGTGTCCCTAGGACCCCCGGAGCCTGGAGTGTGTCTGAGGGATGGGGCTGGCTACGGGAAACTTAGTGGTCCGTGGGGCCTTGAGCTACAGGGTTTGCCCAGAGGCTATGGCCCGAGCTGCACTTGTCTCCTGCTGGGCATGGCATGGCGTCTTCACGTGGGAGGCCGCCCGGAGTTGAGTGGGCCTGGTGGCCTTGCTGTGTCAGGCAGAACCTCCCCTGTCATAAGGGGGATGGGGCCCATAACTAAAGAGGTAATGGGCCCAGCGCATTCTGGCTCCAGGATGGGCTGAGGCGCCGGGGCGGCCGGCCACTGTTGGTGGGCAGGGAGCATCAGGGAGTGCCTGACCACAGCTGCCCCACTGTCCGGTCACCTCGAGAGGGCTCAGCTCCTGGTGCTGTGCTGGTTAGGGGCTCAGGGACCTGGGATGAGGCAGCTAACCTTGCTAAGCCTTGATCTTGTTTTCTGTAGAACATTCCGGAGTGGGTGAGGGGAGACCTGTCTGTGGGCAGGGGGGGGGGCGTGGCGGGCTGGGTCTGAGGCACCCATGCTGCCCCACAGCGGGAGATGGTGTACTGCCTGGAGCAAGGCCTGATCTACCGCTGTGCTAGCCAGTGCGTCGTGGCGCTGGCCATCTGTAGCGTGGAGATGCCCGACATCATCATCAAGGCGCTTCCCGTCCTGGTCGTGAAGCTCACGCACATCTCAGCCACGGCCAGCATGGCCATTCCACTCCTCGAGTTCCTGTCAAGTAAGCATCTGGCTCCCCTCCCGTCTCTGTGTGCAAGCAAGTGCACATGTGAGTGTGGGGCGGACCCTCGGGGTTGGGGCTGTCACTCGTGTTGGCTTTGCTGACCTCATCTTGCCGCCTCTCTTGGGACACAACTCCATGGAGCATCTGGGGTGTGCCATCCTCTGTTGCCTCAGGGCCTTTGCACTTCCTGCCCCTGAGCCTTGAATGCTTTCCTTTCTGGCTTTCCAGTGGCCGGCTCCATTCTTATACTCAGTGTCAGTTTAAACGGCCCAGAAGCCTCTCTATTGCTGGACGCGGGTCCCTGCACTTGGGCTCTCACAGCCTCCTCTCGCTTCCCCTCAGGACACACACCACAGCAGGGAGGGGCTTCCAGGAGCTCAGGGTGCCCTGCTCACCTGCCCCATTCACCCCCTCGTTCCCAGTACCCTAGTGCGCATCTGGCCCTCAGCAGGGCGGTGACGGGAGCAGAGCCGGGCCACCAGCGCTTCTGCAAAGAGACACGTAGGATCTCTGCTGCACATTCTTTTTATTTACAGCCTTTTAAAGACATAAAAGCCATCTTTAGCTCATGGGTCACACGAGTGCTGGCCGTTGGCTGGATTTGGTCTTGGGGACCATAGTTTACTAGCCCTTGGAATAGAGAGCCAAGGGTCAAGGGAAGGTCATGTTCAAGGGGGCTGCGACCTTCAGTCCTTTGCAGCCCTCTTAGGTCAGGGTGGCCGCGCTGGCTTTCAGGAGTAGCACAGGCCCCTGGCGACGGCAGGCGTGGGCCTGTGTCTGCCCGGCCCGCCCGCGCCCCCTCACCCTTGTGCCCTCCTGTTGCAGCTCTGGCCCGGCTGCCCCACCTCTACCGGAACTTCGCAGCTGAGCAGTACGCGAGTGTCTTTGCCATTTCCCTGCCTTACACCAATCCCTCCAAGTGAGTGCTGGCCCGTCCCTCCCGCCCACGGCCTGGGCCAGCCTGAGGCCTCTTGCAGCCGAGAGCCATGCTGGTCCTTGACCTCCGATGGGCCTCTGGCCTTGGGGCCTCTCTTCTATGCTCGGCCTCAGGGCCTCATCAGAGCTGCCTCACTTCCCTTTCTTCTTGCAGGTTTAATCAGTACATCGTGTGCCTGGCCCATCACGTTATAGCCATGTGGTTCATTAGATGCCGCCTGCCCTTCCGGAAGGATTTTGTTCCCTTTATCACTAAGGTAGGCCAGCGGAGGCCAAACCCATAGTTAGGGTGGGACCCGCTTTGCCGTTGGCTGGCTGTGGCTGGTGTGGAGATGTCGGGAGCCAGAAGTGGGCGTCGTCAGGTGCCGCGCTTGCCGAGCGTGGCCTGCTGGGACGCGGCGCACTGCAGGCAGGCTCACGGAGGGAAGAACCAGGGGGGTCAGTCCCCCTGCCGATGGCTCAGGTCTGCTCCACTCCGCCAGGGCCTGCGTTCCAACGTCCTCCTGCCCTTCGATGACACCCCTGAGAAAGACAGCTTCAGAGCTCGAAGCACTAGTCTCAACGAGAGGCCCAAGAGGTGCGGGCCTGCAGTGCGAATGGGGCGCAGCGGGGCGGGTCTGCGAGCGTGACCTGTGACTGGCGTGGTGCACATAGGGTCTGGGCTGGCCTGCTGCCCCGAGGCCGGCCGGCGGCACTGGGATGTGGCTGGGGGATGTCCCTTTTCAGACTGTGCTGGGCACCAGGGGGTCCTGGCGTAGAGGCAGGGCCTGTGGAGGCCTTTAGCGCCCTCATGTAGCTGGAGGAGCAAGCTGTTGCCCACCCAGCTGGCCCGCGTGGCCTGCGGTGTCGCGGAGCCCATGTGCTGGACTGTGGCCAGGCCTGCCTGAGCCCGAGTGCAGACTCGCAGAGCTGGGAATCGGGATGCTAGCTGTAGGGCGCCTGGGCCCGGCTCCACCGGATGGGCCGAGGGTTGCGTCAGGGCAGCGGTAGCTCTCGAGAGGCCGAATCCCTGGCCTGGCTGGGGTGGAGCTCCGGGGCCCTATGGTCAGCCCAGTCTCGGGCCGGGGCTGCCCGTTCTCCCGAGCTTGCTCTCCACCCCTGCTGAGCAGGGGCCATGCTCCTCTGGACCCCGTCACAGCCGCTTTTGCCAGATCTGAGAGAACTGTGCTAGGCCTCGTGTCTTGTTTGCATCTCCTACGAACGGCGACTCCTCTTTCTGTCCCCGCCTTCCCGCCCAAGCTTTTCAGTTCTCCCTTGGTGGGGATACGGCATTTTCCAGAATGACCAGGTCAGCGTGACCTAAAGTCAAAAGCTGGCTTCTCAAGCTCCCAGTAGCTGGGTGCCAGGGGCCTTGAGCTAAGAACCGGCCTTTTGAGCGGTGACCTTCAGGGCCTTGGGGCGTCCCGGCCCCTGAGCGGGGTGGGTGGGGCGCCTGGTCAGCACAGCCTGGAATCTGCCGTGCATAGCGCTCCATACATGTTTAATTTGCACTAATGTTCTTTGTTTTGGTTCCATGCGTGAAACCTGACTTTTTCTCAGTCACGTTTATGACATGTATTTTCATGCATTTTTATTTTCTGTTTCTTCCCCCTGCTAACTGGCCTCTGGCATGGTTTTTTGTTCATCTCACCCTCGGGCTCTCCATCCTGACCCTGTGGCCTGTGACCTTTCCTCCTCCTCCCTCCAATGGCTTGTTCTCCCCTCCCGGGAGCTGGGCTCTCTGGGGCTTGGGCCTTCCTTCCTCACCTGGTAGTTTGAGGATAGCCAGACCCCCCAAACAAGGCTTGAATAACTCTCCACCCGTGAAAGAATTCAAGGAGAGCCCTGCAGCCGAGGCCTTCCGGTGCCGCAGCATCAGTGTGTCTGAACATGTGGTCCGCAGGTAGTGGGCTCCGTCGGGCGGGGGGCTCAGGCCCTGGAGCAGGGCCCGCGAGGCGGCCCTGCCAGGCGGGAGTGCCCGGGGGGCGGTGCATGGGGCTGCTTGCATGAGCTCGTCGCCTGCCCACGCCCTCCCTGGCCGGAGCTGGAGGAGAGCCCAAGGGGCAGCCCTTGGTCCAGGGGAGCCTGGAGGTGAGGGGTGGAAAGGTTGCATTCTGTCCCCAAGCCTCGTCCGAGCACGGGCTGGCTGCACGGCCTCCTCAGAGGCTGGCCTGGGAGCCTGGAGCAGGGCTGTAGCTCTGAGAAAGCCAGGTGGCCGGTGGCAGCTACCCGCAGGCCTATCCCCGGAGGTAAGGGGCCTTCGCATATTAAAGCGGCGCCCACGCAGGTTGGGGGAGGAAACGCATTCTAGGGTTTGGTTTTCCTATCCTCTCAAGTGGACTTTAATCTTGAGCTTTCTTTTAGTAGAGGGTTGCTTTCTGTTGTAGCTGAAAGGGAATGGTGGGGGGGGCTCTGTACAGAGCAGCAGGGGTGGGGGCCAGCCTGGGAGGAGGCGGGGGCTGGGGAGGCCTGAACTGTCGAGGGGCGCGGCCTCGGTCACTCCCCCCTGCTGTGTCTGAGTGCAGGTGTGGGCTCTGGGGGTCACTGTTTTGCGCCGACCAGGCTAGGCTGCACTGAGCTGTGTGGGGGGCTGTGTCCTCCCCAGGAAGTCCCTTCAGGCCTCTGAGTCCGAAGCTCGGAGACCCACCTCCTCACTGCTGCCTGGCTTAGGCTCCAGCCTCAGGCTGGCCTCTGCCGAGTAGGGTTTGACTGGGGGGATGGGGACAGCGAAGCTTTCAGCTTTTTTCTAGCAAATTCTTTAACACAAGCCAAACATGGCAAAGGGTCGGTGAAATTTCATATCAGAATTAAACCTGCATGAGCCTCTTCTCCTGGTCGCTGGGTGTCTGTGGGGCCCCAGGGGCCTGAGTTGAGGGGGAAGAGCGGCACACAAAGCCCAGACCCTCCCTGTCATCGGGAGGTGGCCCTGTGGGCAGAATGCAATCTTTGTGTCTCTGCATGACTAAACTGTTCTGCCACCAAGCCATCCCCTAACTCTCTTGTGCTTCGGTGAGGGGACGTCGGTCTCTACCCTGTCTCCTGAGCCTCTGCTCCGACGAGTGGGCCTGGGTCTCTCCTGTGAGGCCCTGCTCCTCCTCTTTCTGGGACGATGTGTCCTCGCGGTTTGCCACAGTGTGGCTCGACTGGCCGTGCGCCCTGGTGGGGGGTGTGTGGGCGCAGCCCTCTCAGCACTTGCATGCCTCGAGCTTTGGCCCCTGGTGGGAGATGAGTTGCCCTGACTGGTCCCTGACCTCGCGGGGGCCCCTCCCTCCAGCAGGATCCAGACGTCCCTCACCAGCGCCAGCTTGGGGTCTGCAGACGAGAATTCGATGGCCCAGGCTGATGACAACTTGAAAAATCTCCACCTGGAGCTCACGGAAACATGTCTGGACATGATGGCCAGATATGTGTTCTCCAACTTCACAGCGGTTCCCAAGAGGTGCGGGCCGGGCCCCGGGGCGGGAGGCCAGCGCTTGGCTTGGCTTCTGTCACCGAACTTGGCAGCGGTGGCAGCAGGCGAGGCCCAGGCCAGGCTGCCCTGCACATCGTGGGGCCCCGCTCTTCTGGGGACCAGGGCCCACCTCAGTCCGCGTACCTTTGAAACCAAGATGCCCATTCAGAGAGCCCACGGTGGGTGAGGTGTCGGCTGACGCTCTTGTTTCTCAGGTCGCCTGTGGGCGAGTTCCTCTTGGCTGGCGGCAGGACCAAAACCTGGCTGGTTGGGAACAAGCTTGTTACCGTGACAACAAGCGTGGGGACTGGGACCCGGTCGCTGCTGGGCTTGGACTCAGGAGAGCTGCAGGGTGGCCCCGAGTCGAGGTGACTGTGCCTTCCACCCCCTGCCCAGCAGGCCTTGACAGCGGCCGTCCTGGGCCCAGGCACCTCGGTCACGCTCCACACGGACCCTTCTGCCCTCAGCTCGGACCCTGGCACGCACGTGAGACAGACCAAGGAGGCGCCTGCCAAGCTGGAGTCCCAGGCTGGGCAGCAGGTGTGCCGCAGGGCCCGGGACCGGGTCCGCTCCATGTCCGGTGAGCCTGGGCCCCACCCTGCCTCCTTCACAGGTGCCTGTGGGTCCGCATGCTCGCAGGGACTGCTCGGAGCCTGGGGACAAGGTGGTTGACCAACTGGGGTGTTGTCTCTGTGAGCCCTGGCCACGGGGCTGTGTAGTGGGGGGCGTGCCTTCTCTACAGCTGGCCTGAGGCCCCCTCGTGGCTGTGGGTCTATTCCTCGTGGCCAGTGTTTCCTGAGAACCGTTGGCTGCCCTGGTTCTCGGCCCAGCTTGCCCCTGGAGCTTCTCTTTGCTGCAGCTGGAATGAGATGTGGTCCGACCGTGGCCCCTTCCTACTGCCCTGGGTCCACCGAGCCCGAGCCCGACCCCGTACAAGGGCCGCACCCAGGGAGAGCTGAGCTGCCTCCGGTCGCCGGGCCCTGGGCGGAACAGCCAGTTCCGGGCTGGTGGCTCTGCATTGGGCAGGTGGTGGTCACTGGCACTCTTGCCTTTCTCTTCCTCAGGGGGCCACGGCCTTCGTGTTGGTGCCCTGGACACTCCAGCCTCCCACTTCCCGGGTGGCCCCACCTCCCCGGGTGCACAGACAGCACTCGCCAGCAAGTCTGAGAGGGCATCAGCTGGTACCCAGTTCCCAGTACAGGAGAAGACGAGCCTGGCAGCCTATGTCCCCCTGCTGACCCAGGGCTGGGCAGAGATCCTGGTCCGGAGGCCCACAGGTACGGAGGGGCCTGCGCTCAGCATGCAGGGGCCTCTGCCAGGGCTTGAGGTACCCGGCAGTGAGTGGCAGGCACACAGGGCCGAGCGAGCCTCTGCTCTGTGACTTCTGAGCTGAGTGCCAAGGGGAGTGGCAAGGGGCGATCCGGGCGGCTAAGCGGGAGGGCCTCCCTCACAGAGCACCATGGCCTGGGGGCCTTCAGCCACAGATACATTCGTGTATTCTCGTCCGCCCGGAGCCTGGAAGTCCTGGGTCACTCTTGTGGGTCTGTGTCCTGTCTCTTCTTGGAAGGGCTCAGGGGATTAGGGGCCATCTCTGTGGCCCTGTTTTACCCTAATGAGCTGTTTTCTGAGCTGCAGGAGGTCAGGAGTCCGATACATGGATTTTGTTGGACATGACTCTGCCTGTAATGGGTATTGCAAAACCAAGGCCCAGGGCCTGAGACCTGCTTTGGGCACAGTGTGGCGAGCGGTGACAGGAGAGGGCTGGATAGGAGGCCCCGAGGAGCCTCGAGTGTGGGCAGAAGGGCTGCGGGTCCTGGCTCCCGGCAGGGAACAGGCAGGGGGCAGGTGGGAGACTGGATGAGGAGGCCCAGGCAGGGCAAGAGGAGGTGGGTCGGGTTGGGTGAGATGCTCGGGATTGGAAGACATTCAGTGTGGAAGGTTGATTCAAAGTGTGGGCTCCTGGGCCTTATGGGGAGAGGGACAGAGCCCAGAAGGCCCCCCATTCAGGCTTCTCCATGGCGAGGCCTGGGGCTTTGAGATGCCTCCGCCAAGCCTGGCCAGGACCCGGGAGCTGCCCTGGGGTGGAGAGTGGTGTGCACTGAGACCCCTCCTCATGCATGAGGCGGGTGACCGCTGCACGGGGGCTGCCCTAACCTGGGGGTCTGGGGCAAGCCGTGGGCATGCCTTTGCCTGGGGCCTGTCCCCCTCCTTGTCACTCCCTGGTTGAGCACAGGAACCCTGCTGAGCCCGGGCACATGCCCTTAAGGACAGTGGCGGGGGGCGGGGGGATGGGCTGCCCCGGGAGCTCTGGGAGGGGATGGGGCGGTTGGATGCCTAAAGGGTGCTGCCTGTGTGCCTCCCCAGGGAACACCAGCTGGCTGATGAGCCTGGAGAACCCACTCAGCCCCTTCTCCTCGGACATCAACAACATGCCCCTGCAGGAGCTGTCCAACGCGCTCATGGCCGCTGAGCGCTTTAAGGAGCGTCGCGACACAGCTCTGTACAAGTCGCTGTCGGTGCCGGCGGCGGGCTCGGCCAAGCCCCCTCCGCCCCCGCGGTCTAACACGGGTGAGTGCCGCGGGAAGGCAGCTTTGCGCCCCCCGCCCCGTGGGGCCGCGCTGGAGCCAGCTCCCTGAGCTCTCCTTGTCGCTGGCACAGCCTGGCGTTCAGGAGCGGGGCCGGCTCCTACGGAAGGGCCCCCTTCTTTAGAGATGTGCCGCTCGCAGAGGGGCAGGCAGGTGCTTTCAGGGTGGACACTTCAGAGCCCTGCACGCCCTGTGCCCTGCACTGTCCTCGACGTGCCCGTGGCCCCAGGAGGGCAGCCGTACTTGCGCTTGGGTCTAGGTTTGGATGCGCCGAGCACAGCTAAGCCTGCCTGCGCGCTCTTGTGCCCTTGCCTGGCGGGGCTGGTGCGCTCCTTCCGGGCCACCCTCCGGCCTTCCCTGTGGCCCCACGTGGCGCTTCGAGGCCCAGGACCTCTGCTGGTGAGGAGGAGGGCCGCCCCCCTGCAGCAGCGCGGAGAGCCGGGAGCCGCCCGCTGCCGGCCGGCCGCCGCTGGCCCTCCGCTCTCTCCCTCCAGGCTCGGGCTCTGTGCGGGACTAGCGCTGCCTTTCCTCTCTGCTCGACTGTGCGCAGTCTGTGCTGCTGCTGACCGGCCGCGCGCGGTCTTCCTTGCAGTGGCCTCTTTCTCCTCCCTGTACCAGTCCAGTTGCCAAGCAAAGCTGCACAGGAGCATTTCCTGGGCAGGTATTCGTACATCTCTTTAAGGAAGGCGCCGTTTGCCGCAGAGCTTTGCTCTGCCTCGTACTTGCTGCTCCCACCGTCCCTCATGCGGTCATCCCTCCTCGACTCTGCCGGTGCCGCTCCTCACCCCCCAGATGCAGGGCCCCGACTTGCATGAGGACGTCTGTGCAGAGTGCCTGCGCTTGGCCGGTGGGCCCCTCTGCCCTGTGCCCTTGCCGACTGAGCTCTGTGCCCCGCCGGATGGGCCCTTGCTGCCCCTTCTTCAGGCCTCGGGAGGTGACGTTGGGCCGCTGAGCCACAGATGCTCTTTGGGGCGAGCCTGGCCCTGCGGCTCAGCCGGACTGACCTTGCCCTGGCCTCTGGTGGTCTGACTGGCTTGGTGAACTCACAAATTGGGCTGTGTCTGCTTTTTATCATGGGCTGACCCATTACCTCCAGGCCCTGGCGACGGCGGGGGGTTGACCCGCACAGCCCTCTGGCCCACCTGGGCCCCCACATGTGGGCAGGAGCTGGTTCGGAAAGGGCAGCGAGCAGACGGGTTCTGGCAGGCGGCTAACAGACCGCGCGTGTGCAAGGGCTGTATGTGGGGCGGCCGCGGGCTGTGCTAACTCTCGGTGGCTTCTCACCCCCACCCCCGTCCTGACAATGGCACAGGAAACGCTGCTTTGGGGCGTCGTGGCCTTTTCTTGGTGCTCCTGGCTCCGGGTTTCGCTTGGGCTCCGATGGCGCGTCTCTGCTTTCCAGAACGGGCTCCCCGTCTGTGTGTACGCACAGGGGTTCCTCCCGCATCAGGCTTTTCCTCGGGTCCAGTCAAGGAGGGATTACGGCCTCCGCCTGTTCCTGGGAGCTGGTCTGGGCCCAGCGCTCCTCCTGAGCTGAGGCCCCATCTTAGATGGGGGCTCTTCCCTGGTGGGGGTCTGTGCTGCCCTTGCCCGTCTACCTCACTGAGCAGCAGGGGCGGGTTCTGTGGACCCTGGGATGCGGATCCCAGGGGCCAGATGCCCCCCTCATCCCCACCCTGGGAGCCTGTGGAGACGCCCTGTGACGGGGGCCACACCGCGCCCCTCCGTGCTCTCCTGCAGCTGACTTGATGGGGTGTGGGCGGCTCAGAGCCACAGGCAAGGAAGGCCTGGGGTGAGGCTGTGGCGGGGCCCACTGCGCTCTGTTGCTGGGGAGAGGCTGGTACCTCTGAGGCCATGTGAGCTCCCAGGGGCCGGGCCAGCACCTAGGAGCCCCATCTGTGTCCTCCCAGACTCGGCGGTGGTTCTGGAGGAGGGGAGCCCAAGCGAGACTCATTTGTCCGCGGAGCCCATGGAGTTGGAGGACTTTGAGGCGACGCTAGGCACAGACCGGCGCAGTGACCGCGCTGAGGCTTACAGCAGGGTGAGTGCCTTGGGGCGCCGGAACTGCCTGAGGTGCCCTGGGGGTGCTCGCCCCTGGGAGCGGGAGGAGGGTACTGTGGGAGGAGGGACAGGGCCTCCCTCCAGGCCCCGCTGCACGCACGGCCTTGCTCAGAACTTTGGCAAGTCTTTTGCCCCGCCCCCCTTGTCATTTAAAAAAAGGGTAGTTATCTTTCCTAGTCAGTGCTGCGTGGACAGTGTGGGGTTCCCCAGCGGGCCCTGCAGATTGACAGCTGCTGGTCGTCGGTGTTCCCTGCTCAGTGTGGGGCACCGGCAAGTGCCATCCTGGGGGAGAGGATGCAGCCGTCCGCTTGCTGCTGAGGGGCTCTGTGGCCCTGCCGGGGGATGGGGGGGGCTTCATCGCCTCCAAGTGAACCCCTGGGTGTGCTCGCTGGTATCTCCTGACGGAGGTCCCGTGGACTCTTTCTTGGCAGTCATCTTCAAGCTCCAGCCAAGAGGAGAAGTTCCCTGCAGAGGAGCTGGCGGCTCGAGGAATCCCCATCGAGCGGGCTGTCTCTTCTGAGGGTGCCCGGCCTTCTGTGGAGCTCTCCTTCCAGCCCTCCCAGCCCCTCAGCAAGTCCAGCTCCTCGCCTGAGCTGCAGACCCTGCAGGACATACTTGGGGACCCTGGGGACAAGACTGATGTTGGCCGGCTGAGCCCTGAGGCCAAGGCCCGGTCCCAGTCCGGGATCCTGGACGGGGCAGGTGCCTCCTGGTCAGCCCCAGGCGAAGAGAGCCAGGGCCGGGGCCCCGCGCAGCCCGAGGGTTCCTTGCCTTCCAGCTGCCCCCGCTCCCCCAGTGGCTTGCGGCCCAGAGGCTACACCATCTCTGATTCGGCCCCATCACGCAGAGGCAAGAGGGTAGAGAGGGACGCCTTCAAGAGCAGAGCTGGGGCCTCCAATACTGAGAAGGTGCCAGGCATCAATCCCAGGTGAGCCTTGCCCTCTGGGGCTGGAGCTGCTGGAGCTTTTGGATGGTCCCCATGGGGACGTGATGCCCGAGGGGCCCTGCCACAGGCTGGGCTGCAGGTCACATGGCCTCGGCCCTGTGGCTGGTTGGAGCCACAAGAAAGGCTCAGGTCTGCTGCCCTGTGCGTGGGCGGACGGTACTGGCCGTGACCCCGACCTGGCCCGCAGCTCCCAGCCCAGCCCTCCCCGTCTTTCCTCCTGCAGCTTTGTGTTCCTGCAGCTCTACCATTCACCTTTCTTTGGTGACGAGTCCAACAAGCCCATCCTTCTACCCAATGAGGTGGGTGGGTGCCTTCTCTCCCTTGCGGGTCCCCCTGGAGCCTGGGTGGGGGGTGCCGTGGGATGCCCTAACTCTTAGTGGTGGTGGCCATAGCCCAGGCTTGCGGAAGGTACAGCCTTGGCTCCCTGGGACAGCCTACAGTGACCTACCCGCGTGAGGAGAGCCCTCCTTGGAAGGGCATCCGGCTGGGGCTGGTGGTAGGGCTGGTGGCAGGGGACGGCCTCCGCCCAAGCTCAGGCAGGGCTCTGTGGCTACAGTCCTTCGAGCGGTCAGTGCAGCTTCTCGACCAGATTCCATCCTACGACACGCACAAGATTGCCGTCCTGTACGTGGGAGAAGGCCAGGTGAGACTCCTGGGTGCGAGGGTGGAGTCATGTGGCCTTCCTGCCTGGGGTAGGGGTCAGGGTCTGCGCCCTGGTCTGCCACAGAGCTCAGTCACTGTATGAGCTGCCACGTGGCCGGTGCTCAAGGAGCCCTATGCCAGGTACCGTTCCGGTGCCAGGGACACAACAGGAATGACAGGTGAGTGTTTGAGCTCGTGGTGCCCAAGGGAGTGCCAAGCACTGTGGAGGTGGCGGCAGGTGCTGGGATCCCGCAGGTGTGATCCTCGCATTGGGGATCCAGGCGTGGAGGAAGCGAGGGACGGGAGTGTCCTGTGCGGGAATGGCAGGTGCGGGTGGCTGGTGCCGTGTCCACCGCGTGGGGGATGGGAGGTGGGGCAGGGAAGTAAAGGGGAGGGCGGATGTGGACAGCGGATGTGGACAGCCTCATGGGCCGTTCCCAGGGAGGTGGGCGGGCCGTGAATGGTTCTGAGCAAAGGGTTCGAGGTGACTCGGCCTAAGCGTCCAGAGCATCCCTCTGGCTGCCGTGTGTGAGAACCGATGGAAGGCGGGTGCTGACAGTCCCTGTGAGGGGCAGGGCTGGGGCCTGGGGCTGGGATTCCGAGGACTGCCGGGCTTCTGGATGTGTTGGGAAGGTCCCGTGGAGCACATTGGCTGGGAGTGCAGGACGGCCTTGCACAGACTCGGGGCCCCCGGGAGCCTTGGGGGGAGGGGCGGCTGCCAGCGTGCTCCTCCCTGCCCACAGAGCGACAGTGAGCTGGCCATCCTGTCCAACGAGCACGGCTCGTACAGGTACACGGAGTTCCTGACCGGCCTGGGCAAGCTCATCGAGCTCAAGGACTGCCAGCCCGACAAGGTGTACCTGGGGGGTCTGGATGTGTGTGGGGAGGACGGCCAGTTCACCTACTGCTGGCACGACGACATCATGCAAGGTATGCACCCGGCCACGCCACTGTCATTGTCTGCCGTCAGGCCACGGGCGGGGCCGAGGGCCTGCCTTCATCTGTCTGGGCGTGCAGGCAGCGAGGGCCTGGCGGCTCTGCTTCCGGAAGCTGTACTTCCAGAAGCTCTGCCCTCGGGGAGAGGGGTGTTGTGCTGCCGGCTGGCCAGGCCCTGAGAGCCTCTGGGGAAGCCAAGAGGTGTCCCCCCACCCGCCCCCCTCCCCGGCCCTACCGACACCAGCCCCACCGACACGAGCCCCGAGCAGCCCTTGTGAGTGCTTGGCCGGGTCCGCCTTGCAGCTGTCTTCCACATTGCCACCCTGATGCCCACCAAAGATGTGGACAAGCACCGCTGTGACAAGAAGCGTCATCTGGGCAACGACTTCGTGTCCATTGTGTACAACGACTCCGGCGAGGACTTTAAACTGGGTACCATCAGAGTGAGTGGGGGTGCTGGGGGCGGGCCCGGGCAGGGTCAGTGTGCTGGCAGCAGGGGCCCCGGCCTCCCGTGCAGACCCCCTGTGAGCCAGCATTCTTCTCTGGAACAAGGACGAGGACAGTGGCCCCATTGGTTTCCCACGGAAGCCGGGGCACCAGCGGTGGCGTCGTGGGGAGTCGCGGAGTTGCTGTGCACGCGTATTTAGCGGGCTGTGGGGTGCCCAGGAGGTGCTCTGTGTCTCCGGAGGGGCTCCGAGTCTGTCTGCCCGGCACCTCCTTTGTGTACCCACGGCAGCTGGGGTCGGTCTCTGTCACCATCTTTCTCAGAGGACGCCGCTAGGGCTCGACGCCCCACGGCGGGAGGCGGGCTGACCCCGGGAGACTTGTCACGGGGTGTGGGGGGGGATATGCCAGATAGCTGTGAGGCCGGGGAGTGGGGAGCCCGGGGCAGCCCCAGCAGCGGGGGTGCCGGTGCTCAGAAGTTTGTGGGTGTGTCCTGAACACAGTGGGGAGCCTCGGGCGAGGTCACTGGACAGAAGCCAGGAGCAGGCAGGGGTGCAGAGCTGGGGGCTGGGCACATGCCGAGCTCCTTGTGCTGCTCTTGGGTGACAGGCAGGTGGCAGCCGGAGCCACAGGGAGGGAAGGACAGGGGCTGCGGACCTATCTGCAGTCATGACTGAATCCGAACTCGGGTGGATTCAGTGGTTGGGAGCCAGATGTGGAGTAGGTGGGGTTTTGAGAGGGAAGGCAGCTGTGCCCCTAGGTCCGGTGGGAAGGAGGGTGTGAGCAAAGCCCAGGCTTGTTCAGGTAGCAAGCCACCCGCCCCAATGGGGGAGGAAGTGGCGGACAGTGGTCCTCGGGGCCGGGTGATCTCTGCTCTCGTCTGGGCAGGGCCAGTTCAATTTCGTCCATGTCATCATCACCCCCCTGGACTACGAGTGCAACCTGGTGACCCTGCAATGCAGGAAAGGTGAGCCGCGGGGCTTGGGGAGGGGGGGGGGGGGGGAGGCACTCGGGACCCTGAGCCCTGGGGTGAGCTCTGTTTCTCCCCAGACATGGAGGGTCTCGTGGACACCAGCGTGGCCAAGATCGTGTCAGACCGCAACTTGCCTTTTGTGGCCCGTCAGATGGCTCTGCACGCAAATGTGAGCGGAGAAGGTGGTGCAGGGGGCAGGTAGGAAGGGCCCACAGGTGTGACCCCACGGGGGCTCACCACTCCCCCCTCCCCCCCCAGATGGCCTCACAGGTACATCACAGCCGCTCCAACCCCACCGACATCTACCCCTCCAAGTGGATCGCCAGGCTCCGCCACATCAAGCGGCTCCGCCACCGGGTAGGGAAGAGGGGACCCAGACCCCCTGTGGTGGGTGGGTGTCCCCCCCTGCCTTGGGGCTGGCTGCTGAAGTTCCCGTCTCCTGCAGATCCGGGAGGAAGCTCACTACTCCAACCCCAGCCTACCCCTGATGCAGATGCACCCCCCGGGCCACGCCAAAGCCCCTGCTCAGGCGCCAGCAGAGCCCATGCCCACATATGAGACGGGCCAGCGGAAGCGCCTCATCTCCTCGGTGGATGACTTCACGGAGTTCGTGTGAGGCTGCCCCTTGCGGACGTGTGCGCATGAAATAAAGCCGCAGTGCCTCCGGGCCCGCGTGGCTCACACAGATGCAGTCAGCCAGCTGGTTTATTTGACTTTGTCCAGTGGGGATGGAATCAAGGCTATAGCTTGGGCAAGGTCCCCCTGCCCCCCCCCCCCCCCCAGCCGTGGTACGGGGCCTGTCTGGGCCACCCACGCCATCACACACAGTCCTGTGCTCACCTGCCCCAGCCCCAAGAGCCAGCCCCCGGGGAGGGCTCTTTCCACCTGACCACCTTGTTCTTGCCCTCGTCCTGCTCCTCACCCAAACCTGGCACCAGCAGGTCTGGGCCCTGCCTTCTTGCTGCGCAGCCTCGGGCACAGAACAAGGCCCCTGGGGAGTGGGGGGTGGGTGGGAAACAGAACTGCCTAGGAGGGGACTGGGCCCTTCTAACAAGCCTCCCCTCTCAGCACCTGTCCCAGGCCGGCCCTGGCCTTCCGGTCAGGCGGGAGGGAGGCCTGCCCTGCCGTCCCCGCTGCCCCTCAACGTGGGTGACCGTGGGCACTGGGCTGCTTCAGCTAGCGGGGCCCTTGGCCCTAGTGAAAAATAGAGCGACGTACAAAAATATATACATTTTAACCCCATATAAATTACTGACGATAGACACACATATGGCAGTGGAAGGGGAGTGCACTCAGCAGGGGCATAGGAGAGGTAATAACTTAGTGGGGAAGACCACGGGAGGGGCAGATTCCCTCCCCGAAGCCTGGATCCTTAGCAAAGGGGAGATGTCTGCCCAGGAGGTGGGGCCGGGCACAGCCCGCTGTACCTGAGGACTCCGGTAATAAATTAGCGTCTCAGAGGCTGGGCACTTGGCCCAATACTGCTGTGTCCTCCCATGGGGAGCTGGGGAGGGGACCCTGGGTCCTGGCTGCCCACATGGCCTCTTTAAAGTGCTGAGAGCCCCCCCAGAGAGAGAGAGCGGCTGCCTCCTCCCAGGGGGACCTTCGTGCAGCTCTCCTGCCTGGCCCGAGACCTTGAGGGCGGCAGAAGTTAATACTGAGCGGTGTCTGCTCCGGCTCCTTCAGGAAGCCGGAGTGAAGCCACAGACCCACCCCAGGGAAGGGCTATGAGCCCAGGGCCCCGGGGTTAAGTGCTGCTGGGGTGGACCTTGTTCTTAGCCCGCAGGGAAGCCCTGCTGGGGCCAGTAGCCAGGCCCATGCCTCGGCTGGCCCGGGCAAGACGGCTGGGCAGTGCTGGCCGCAGGTCTGAGGAGGGGCTGCGGGGAGGGGAGGCTGGGGGACCAGTGCTCCTGCGGCCCTGCAGGCTCTGCAGCCTTTGCTCCAGCTGGTAGACGTCCTCTGTGGCCTGGTTCAGTCGGTCGAACTGGGTAAGGAGGGCCTCGAACACGGCTTGCAGCCGCGAGGGCTCAGGCTCCCCCCGTGGCCCCAGCCGGCCCAGGCCCCCACTCAGCGTGTCCAGCTGGCTGGAGGAGGTGGAGGGCCGTGAGGTGTCAGAGCCCCCGCTGGGGGGCGGTGCATCTGGGGAAGACTTGGAGCCCCTGGAGGAGCGGGAAGGCAGCGGCTCCATCCCTTCGAAGCGGACTTTGTGGCGGAACTGGGGGCGGCACAGGGGCTCGGTCAGTCCGGCTGCACCCTGGGCTCACCTGGGCCCAGGGTGCGTCCCTCTCCCCCCCACTGGGCCGTACCCACCTCCTTAACCTTGCTGAAGCCCATCCAGAGGCGCAGCCTGCGTAAGAAGAGCTCGACCATCTCATAGTCCTGTGGCTCCCAGGCTGGTCGGTAGAGCTCCCCACGCAGAGCATGGTACCGCCATCGCAGAAGGACTGCTCCCAGCCTCAGGGCCCCCCACAGCCGCAGGGCCCAGAGCCCCGTGCACAGCAGTGGGGACAGGCGCCAGGATTCAGTAGGGCACAGGGCAGGAGCCCCGGACCCAGGGCACAGCACCAAGAGGGCCTGGGCCGCACTCCGAAACGAATTCACGCAGGACGACACCAGCTGCACGGGAAGGGGGCGCGGGTGAGGGGCGCCTCCCGGGCTACGCCACCCTCCCCCGCCGGCCTCACCGTCACCTACCAGAACGGCCAGCTGGGTGTAGGCCACGGCGAGCGCCACCAGGCCCACGGTGGCCCCCACCAGCTCCGGCAGGGCCCGGCATAGCGTCTTGCCGAAAACCGACCACTGGCGCACGAAGCGCAGCTGCTGTGCGGCCTGCGGGCAAGTGGGGTCAGCTGACCGAACCCCGCCAGCCCGGCCCAGGCCCAGCCAGTCCCCGCTGGCCCAGCCCTCACCTTGACCAGAAGCAGGAAGAGCAGCGAGGCGGCCAGACCGCGAGCTGCGGCGCTCAGCTGCGCCACCTGCTCGAAGCTGGTGAAGCGGCGTGGGCGGCGGCGCACGAAGCGGGTCCACTGGCGGTCGGCGGCACCCAGCTGGGCCAGGCGCACGAGCGCCGCGGCCGCGGTCAGTGCCACCAGCAGCCACCGTGCCCAGGCCCCGGGCTGCACCGCGCGTGTACGCCCTTCCCTGTGCCACACGCGCACCTCGGCCACCGAGAAGTACAGCGCGAACAGCAGCAGGCTCACCTGCGGGGGCGGGGCCAAAACTGGCTGGGGCGGGGCGAGGGCGGTGGGCGGGGCCTGCACTGAGAGGAGGGGGTGAGGGAATGGGGCGGGGCGAGCAGTGGGCGGGGCCTGCGCTGGGAGGACCGCGGGGGCGGGGCCGGCACCCACCGAGGTGAGCAGTGGCAGGGAGAGGCCGGCGCTCAGGCGCTGCAGCGGGAAGGGGCGCACACTGAGGGCGGTCACTGCGTGCCCGGCTGCAGGGAACTCGAGGCGCAGCGTGACGGCGGCGTGAAGCCCCACGGCCGGGCTGTAGCGCGTGAGCTCCACGAACACGGCGCGGCTCCTACGTGGCGAGAAGGGGGCGGGGTGAGAAGACCTGCGTGCCTTCCCGGAGGAAGGGGCTCTCGGGGCGGGTGATGCATGGACCCGGGAGGAGGTAGAGGCCGAGTGGTCAGTGAGGCTCGTCAGGAACGAATGGGGAGCCGCAAAGGGCCGGTGAGGGCGGTGTGCCTGCCTGAGGTCCTGCAGGCGGATGGGGGGGGTGGCAGGGAGCTCAGACGACCGCACCTGTTGTCGATCCAGTTGTGCAGCTGCAGGAAGCCCAGCTGCGCGCGGCTCTCTTCCAGGCTCAGCCCCAGCTCCTGCACATAGCCCCCGCTGTCGTACACAGCGCAGTAGCCCCAGGACCAGACACTGCTGACGAGGGGGCAGTGTTAGAGCCAGGCCCTGGCCCCGCAGGAACCCCGGGCGCGCCCTCCGTGCTCACCCCAGCAGGTCTGGTGCAGAGTAGGCCCACGTCTCCGAGCCATTGTGGGCAGCACTCCCCCAGCCAATGCCATAGTCGCCGGTGCTGAAGGTGCCAGAGGCTGCAGAGCACGTGGGCAGCCCTGAGCCGGGAGGGTCTGGGCAGAGAGCTGCAGGGGATGAGCAGGACTAAACCAGGAGCACTTACTGTTGACCAGCTGCCTGGGCTGGGCCCAACATGATCGCCCCAAACCCTCCCTGAGCCCAGAAGGTAGAGGTCCTGGTTTCACAGATAAAGAAACAGCAAGAAGAAGGTAAAGGGCACATGGCAATCAACCAGAAGCCGCTCACCTTCTTGCAGCCGCACCTGACGCAGCCGTGGGGGCCCCAGCTCTGGGCTGGACCGGTTCCCGTGGATGTAGGGGAGCAGCACGTGTGACATCCACGGCCAGAACTCCTCAGACCTGCCCAGAGACACAGTCACACGCTCCACCCCATGGGGCAGGCGGGTCAGAGCCCCAGAGAGCATCGCTCCTGCAGCCCCAGCCAACAGCAGGCTGCCAGGGCCAGCCGGCGGCACAAGGGAAAGACTCGCATTCCCTCATCTTAGCCTAGTGGTATTTGGGGCAGGTAAGTGTGAGGGGGCTATCCTGGGCACCATGTCTAGTCCTGACAAGCAAAACTGTACCAAGACACTTGCCCACGTCCCCCGGGGACTGGGTTGGATGAAGGCCAGGAAAGATGGGACCTGGTTGGCGGCAGCAGCTCCCTGCACTTGGGGGTGTCCGTACCGGGTGATGGCCAGGAAGGCCTGGCTGCCCAGCTCCTGTTTGATGGCACTCTGCAAGCGGTAGGCATGGTTGTGGCATGAGGCATCCCCGTGATTGGCCAGCAGCGTCACCAGCAGGAAGAGCATATACACCAGGAGGCTCTGGGGGCGAAGACAGCCCTGGGGTCAGCCAACCCCACTCGGGCCCACCGCAACAGAGCTGGCCAGCAAACTGCCCACAGCCAGGGTGCCTGGTGCCAGGAAGGCAGCCCAGACACCTGCCGATGCCCCGCCAGGGGTGGGGGGCAGACACGGTCCCGCCGAAGGCTGAGACCACCCCCAGGGTCCCTAGAGGCCAGGCAGTAGGAAGCATTTGACCTGAGCATGAGAAGAGGCAGAGCAAGGATTGGGGTGGTAGGAATCGGGGGTGACGGAAGGCGGGGCGGGGCAGGGCGGGGCCAAAGGGCTTCTGTAGGGAGCCAAGGACAGGTGTGAGGTTTTCGACAAAGGGAGAACCTACAGAAGACACTGTGCTGGCCCAGACGGGGGACAGGAGCACAGCTGCTGGTCAGCTGTGCCTGAGCTCACCCTCAGCATCCCGTGCAGCTTCTTGACCTTTCGGGCTTCCTCCTTTGCCAGGAAGAGCGCAAAGCCGTGGGGGGGCCGCACGCGGGGCACACGCTCGCTCACAGGCGTCACGGCTGGGCTCTCCACCAGGGTGTCATCCTCGTCAGGATGGAGCCGCTTGGCCACCAGTGAGAAGTACAGGGCTTCTAGCAGGACCTACGTCAGGGGTGGGGGGGGGGCATCAGAGGGGCCCGCAGGTGCCAGAGCCTGGCAGCCGGGCCCCCACATCCCACTTACCTTGAGAGGCTCCCAGCCAAAGAAGGAGGCCAGGAAGCTGGAGCTGCTTGAGAAGAGCCACATCACACTCACGCCAGGGGGGAAGCTGGCGCCCACCCAGCCTGAGACCCCCACAGTCGCAGCCACCAAGAGCAGGCTGAGTCCGTGGGCCAGGGGCGCACACCAGGCCGGCAGCAGCCGCCTCCGCAGACCGTCCACCAGCCCTGGGGAGGGAGACAGACCGGTGACAGGCAGCCCACAGGAAGGGGCGCCTAGGGGCGTCCTGGAGACCCCAGAACGCACCTGTGGAGAGCTTTGCCAACTGGGGCTGCTCCCAGGTCAGACCCGGGCTGGGCAGCCCCCTGTCCCCCAGCCTTGGCAGCATCAGCGTCTCTGTCCTCTCTCCGGGGGCGCT